ACTTTAGTGATGGCTAACCTTTTTGCCATTGCCTGCCAGGAGGGGGAGGCGGGGGAGGTTCGCGTGCGTGCATGCCCACACCCATAATTCTATGCGCCCTGCACTGCGCATGCGCGCGCAAGCCCCCTCCCCCCCAGACTCCTAGTCTCTAGAGGCTGGGGACAGTAAAAAACGTCACTTCCTGTCCCACCGGGAGTTCAGAAATGGGCCCTTTCAGGCCTCCGGAGGGCTCTGGCGGAGTGGGAAAGGCTGTTTTGGCCCTTCCCAGATGCATAGAGAGGGTCTGGAGCCAGGTAAGAAAGAAAAATGGGCCTTCCCCACCCACCCCCCAGGCCCTCCGGAGGCAGGAAACAGCCTGTTTCCCTACTTCTGGTGGGCCCAGAAGGCCTGAAAATCAGCTGGCCAGCACGCGCATGCACACCAGAGCTGAGCTGGCGTGCCCACCGATATGGCTACGCGTGCCTCCTGTGGCACGCGTGCCATAGGTTCACCATCACAGGTCTACTTAATTAACAATTTATCAAGCCCAATCACATAGTTCTGTGGCGAAGCATGGGTATCCAGCTAGTATGTGTATGTGTGTAAACACAGAGAAACACACACACAGTATGTGTGGAGTCTTCATCACTGAGCAAGAGTTGGGAAATGAGCTTTACATTACCTTTTTATTATTAAATTCATTTATTATTAAATTTGAATGCTGCTCATCTCACAGTTTGAAGCAACTCTGAGCAACTTGCCTTGCCCTAATGTTCATAGCAACATTGATAATACTCATGTTTACATGTCAAAAGCTACTGATAATAGTAACATAATGCATTTTCTTAAAAGGAACATTTTCTACTGTACATTTTTTTCCCATGTTAAGGCAGCAAAACAAAGTTTGTTAGTCTTCTGCACAACAGTGTGGCAAAAGAGCAGCCACTTCCACAAGTCCACCACATGGCCCAGGGACAAATCCATGGGCCACTGAAAATGGTGGCTGCTTCCAGGACACAGTCCCAGGGATGTGTCCTCCCCACTGCCACAGCATGAGGATCAGAGATCTTCAAAGGTAAGGAGGTGGAGGGTGTGAGGGATAGAGGAGTGTGAGTCATGTGTAAGGTGACCCGGGGGGGGGGAGAGAAAGGACTATGGGGGACCCTGTGGAGGAGTGAAGGGGCTGAGGGGACACAACGGTTAGGAAACAGAGGACAGGGTGTCTTAGAGGGTGGGGGAAGCCTAAGGATGACTATGGTAGGCTAGGCTTCCAAGAGGTTTCCCCAACGTTGAGGTAGCCAGTGTTCTGCTTAGCAACTTGCACAATTAATAACTGCCTCAGGGAGAGCAGGGAGATTCAGGTAGTTAAGAAAAATGATCTTACTTAACAGCCATTACAACATGCAACCATAAGGCCCATAATAGTTCTATCTGGAGGACTAATTTTATGCTGGCTGGAGAATTCTGGGGTTAACATCAACATACAAAAGCACAATCCAAAATTCCTTTTTGAAGAATTCCACTACTTCTGCAAAAGGAAATACCCAGAAGCTTCTGCTGATAACCAGAAAATGGCAGTTAGCCCTTTTCCATTTTCCTTTTCTCTCCACCTACAAATTTAATCCTGAGAAACATTTGAGTAAAAAGAATCAGGCCAGAATTCAAACAGTCAGTTTCTCACCTACAGTTTGAGAATGGGAGATCACAAATGAAATTCAAGCCTTCTCTAAACTCTTCAACTGTTGCCGCATGTGAATTTCCTTGTGTGCAATAAGGGATGATTTACGTTTGAAGTAATTTATTTATTTATTTATTTATTTTTAGTATTTCTATGCAATCCAACTCTCCGAGGACTCTGGGCGGCTTACAACAAAGACAGCATAAACAATATACAATAAGAGACGTTAAAAACCCATACACACCGCTCATGGCCGGATCTCGCAAGATCGCAATGGTGAGATCAACGGCCCCAAGCCTGCTGGAAAAGCCAGGTTTTCACCATTTTCCGGAAGGCCAGTAGGGTGGGAGCGATCCTGGCATCAGGAAGTAGCTGATTCAAGAGAGCTGGGGCAGCCACAGAAAAGGCCCTCCCCCGCGGACCCACCAGACGACATTGTTTAGCTGACGGGACCCGGAGGAGGCCAACTCTGTGGGATCTTACCAGTCGTTGGGAGCTATGCGGTAGAAGATGGTCTTGAAGATAACCTGGCCCTAAGCCATATAGGGCTTTAAAGGTAATAACCAACACCTTGAATTGTGACCGGAGACCAATAGGAAGCCAGTGCAGCTCATGGAGGATTGGTGTAATGTGGGAGTACCTAGGTGCACCCATGACCGCTCGAGCGACTGCATTCTGGACCAACTGTAGTCTCCGAATACTTTTATTTATTTTATTTATTTATTATCAGATTTATATACTGCCCTTCTCTTGAAGGACTCAGGGCGGTGCACAGCCAAAGTAAAAACATAAATACAAACATTAAAATACAGTTAAAAAGATATAAATGCGCTTGGCCCCATAGTTAAAAAAACAACAACAACAAATCTATTAAAAACATGTTAAAAAGTGTTAAGCCAGGTCTTAAGGGCACGGTGGAAGGCACCGAGGTCTTGGATTCTTCGTATCTCTGGGGGCAGGGGTAGCCCCATGTAGAGCACGTTGCAATAATTCAACTGTGAGATGACAAGGACATGAGTGACTGTGAGAAGAGCCTCCCGATCCAGATAGGGTCGCAATTGATGTATAAGGCAAACCTGTACAAAGGTCCCCTTAGCCACAGCTGTCAGGTGTTGCTCTAATCTCAGCTGTGGGTCAAGGAGGACGCCCAAATTGTGAACCCATTCTGAGGGGGACAGCTTCTCCCCCGCCAGGGCTAAGGATGGACAATCGACATGGTCCTTGGGAAGCAATACCCACAGCCACTTGGTCTTGTCTGGATTAAGTACAAGAGCCTGGTGGCGCAGCAGACTAATAGCCTGTTATTAACATTCAGCTGCCTGCAATTACTGCATGTTCGAATCTCACCAGGCTCAAGGTCGACTCAGCCTTCCATCCTTTCTAAGGTAGGTATAATGAGGACCCAGTTTGTGGGGGCAATAAGCTGACTTTGTATAAATATACAAAAGTATGAAGGCTATTGCTTAACGCATTGTAAGCCGCCCTGAGTCTCCGGAGAAGGGCGGCATATAAATCAAATTTAAAAAAAAAAAAAAGTCTGAGCCTGTTTACTCCCATCCAGACCCTCACAGCCTCCAGGCACTGGCACATCACATCCACTGCTTCACTGAAATGATGCAGAGTGGAGATATACAGATGGGTGTCATTGGCATACTGCTGATATCCCACCCCGTATCGTCGGATGATCTCCCCCAGCAGTTTCATGTAGATGTTAAATAGAAGGGGAGAGAGGACCGAGCCCTGAGGCACCCCACAAACGAGGGGCCTAGGGGTCGACTTCTGTCCTATTAACACCGATTGTGACCGACCAGAGAGATAAGAGGAGAACCACCATAACACGGTGCCTCCCACTCCCAACTCCCTTAGTTGGCCTAGTAGGACACCATGGTCGATGGTGTCGAAAGCCGCTGAGAGGTCAAGTGGCACCACGATAGAGGAATGACCTCCATCATGGGTTCATCAGAGATGGTTCATCAGCGTGACCAAAGCAGTTTCCATGCTGTAGCCAGGTCTGAAGCCAGATTGAAAAGGGTCCAGATAATCCATTTCATCCAATGTCCATAGGAGCTGATGTGCCACCACTTTCTCTACAACTTTCCCCACAAAGGGTAAGTTGGAGATTGGACAAAAGTTCTTTAATTCTGCTGGGTCCAAGGAAGGCTTCTTGAGGAGGGGCCTTACAACCGCTTCCTTTAATGGTTGCGGAAAAGACCCCTCCCTTAAGGAAGCGTTAACTAAAGTCAGGAGCCAGCCTCGTGTCACCTCCCTGCTGGCTGAAACTAGCCAGGAGGGGCACGGGTCCAACAAACAAGTGGAGGAACTCATCGCACCCACAGCCTTTTCCACTTCCTCAGGAGTCACAGGCTCAAACTCATCCCACACAATATGACTAAGACCTGCCCTGGTCATCTCAGTCGGAATTGCCCAATCAGCATCCAGGTCCATCCGAATCTGAGCGACTTTATCGGACAGAAACTGCTCAAATTCCTCAGCTCTACCCTGTAAGGGGCCCTCCGCTCCCCCTACATTAAGGAGAGAGCGAGTCACCCTAAACAGTGCGAGAATTAGCGGATGCAATAAGTGCGGAAAAATGCAAACATTTTGCAGCCCGTATCGCCACTAAATAAATCCTAATAAAGGCTCTTAAGAGTGTTTGGTCAGATTCAGATTTACTGGTCCTCCAGCGCCGCTTTAGACGTCTCTTCTGGCGCTTCATCTCCCGGAGCTCCTCGGTAAACCAGGGAGCTTTCCACTGCTCTTGAGAGGTCGCAAAGGCACAATCTGGTCCAGTGCCCCAGATGCGGTCTTATTCCAGGCAACAACCATGGTCTCTGCCGGGCTGTGGACAAGGGAGTCAGGTAACTTCCCAAGCTCCTTCTGGAACCCTACAGGGTCCATTAGGCACCTGAGGCAGAACCATTTAATCGACTCTGCCTCCCTGCGATGAGGGAGTGGCATACTAAAGTCCAACCTCAGCAGGAAATGATCTGACCACGACAAAGGCGAAACATCTATAGCCCTTAATTCCAGATCACATCTCCACTGCCCCGAGAGAAACACCAAGTCAAGCATGTGTCCCCCCCCCTATGGGTCGGACCCTGAACTACTTGGGTCAGGTCCATGGTTGTCATGGAAGCCATGAACTCCTGAGCCACATCTGAGGGTTTGCCAAGTGACAGCAGGTTAAAGTCCCCCAGCAACATGAGCCTGGGGAATTCCACCGCTAACCCGGCTACTGCCTCTAGTAGCCCAGATAGGGATGTTGTAACGTAGCTGGGAGGCAGGTACGTCAACAACAGACCCAACTGAACCCTTGAGTCCAACCTCAAGAGGAGGGACTCACATCCGACAATCTCTGGGGCAGGGATCCTGTGAGGGCAAAAACTCTTACGGACAATGACTGCCACTCCTCCACTCCTTCCCTGGAGTTGCGGCTGATGCAGTATCTGAAACCTCTCTGGGCACATCTCTGATAGGGGAACACCCCCTCCTGGCCCAGCCAGATCTCAGTTATGCATGCCAGGTCAGCCCTCTCCCCCAGGATTAAATCCCAAACGAGGGGGGGCTTTATTAACAACAGACCTGGCATTAAATAGCAGCAGACTGAGACCAGGGCCCTGATTTCCCAAGTCACCAGGTATACAGGATGAGCCTTGCGAACCAAAACCAGAGGGGCCGGAACACGTAATCGCTTTGACATAGCAAGTCCTAGTTGTCTGGACATTTGAAAGATTTCTCCATGGTGTGAGTCTTCTGTTGTCTCATGAGATTGGAATTCTGACTGAAAACTTTTCCACAGTCAGGACATTTAAAGCGTTTCTCTCCTGTGTGAGTCTTCTGGTGTTTCACAAGGCTGTTATCACAAAAACATTTCCCACAATCTGGACATTCAAAGGATTTCTCTCCTGTGTGAATACTCTGGTGTCTCATGAGATCGGAATTTTGACTGAAAACTTTTCCACAGTCTGGACATTTAAAGCGTTTCTCTCCTGTGTGAGTCCTCTTGTGTATTACCAGGTAGGAATTCTGACTGAAACTTTTCCCACAATCTGGACATTCAAAGGATTTCTCTCCTGTGTGAATACTCTGATGTCTCATAAGGTTGGAATTATCATTAAAACTTTTCCCACAGATAGGACATTCAAAGGGTTTCTCTCCTGTGTGAATACTCTGGTGTCTCATGAGGTGGGAATTCTGACTAAAACCTTTTCCACAGTCAGGACATTCAAAAGGTTTCTCTCCTGTGTGAATACTCTGGTGTCTCATGAGGTGGGAATTCTGACTAAAACCTTTTCCACAGTCAGGACATTCAAAAGGTTTCTCTCCTGTGTGAGTCCTCTGATGTATCACTAGGTGGGAATTATCACTAAAACATTTCCCACAGTCACAACATTCAAAGGGTTTCTCTACTGTATGAACCCTTTCATGTTTCAACAGGGTGGAATTATCATTAAAACGTTTCCCACAATCAGGACATTCAAAGGGTTTCTCTACTGTGTGAGTCCTCTGATGTATCACTAGGTGGGAATTATCACTAAAACATTTCCCACAGTCACAACATTCAAAGGGTTTCTCTCCTGTATGAATCCTTTCATGTTTCAACAGGGTGGAATTATCATTAAAACCTTTCCCACAATCAGGACATTCAAAGGGTTTCTTTCCTATGTGAGTACTCTGGTGATATATAAGGTGGGAATTCTGACTGAAACGTTTCCCACAATCAAGACATCCAAAGGGTTTCTCTCCTGTGTGAGTCCTCTGATGTATCACTAGGTGGGAATTATCACTAAAACATTTCCCACAGTCACAACACTCAAAGGGTTTCTCTCCTGTATGAACCCTTTCATGTTTCAACAGGCTGTAATTATCATTAAAACCTTTCCCACAATCAGGACATTCAAAGGGTTTCTTTCCTGTGTGAGTTCTATGGTGTCTCACCAGGCTAGAATTATAACTAAAATTTTTCCCACAATCTAGACATTCAAAGGGTTTCTCTCCTGTGTGAATCTTCTGGTGGTTCACCAGGCTGGAATTATCACTGAAACATTTTCCACAATCTAGACATTCAAAGGGTTTCTCTCCTGTGTGAATACTCTGGTGTCTCATGAGGTGGGAATTCTGTCTAAAACCTTTTCCACAGTCTGGACATTCAAAAGGTTTCTGTCCTGTGTGAGTATTCTGGTGATATATAAGGTAGGAATGCTGACTGAAACTTTTCCCACAGTAACAACATTCAAAGGGTTTCTCTCCTGTGTGAGTTCTCTGGTGTCTCATCAGGTGGGAATTATGACTAAAGCTTTTCCCACAGATAGGACATTTAAGGGTTTCTCTCCTGTGTGAGTCCTCTGGTGGTTCATGACTTGGGAATTTCGACTGTAAGCTTTCCCACAACCTGGACATTCAAATGGTTTCTCCTCCTGCGTGAATACTCTGGTGTCTCACCAGCATGGAATTATCACAAAAACTTTTCCCACAAATAAGACATTCAAAAGGTTTCTCTCCTTTGAGTTTCCTTTGGTGTATCACCAATGTTCGAATTACAACTGAAATGTGAAAAAAGAAAAGAAGTATATATTACAATGAAAAAGCAGACAGGCCCCAATGCTAGAGTAGTTTCTTATTTTATTTATGATCACTTACAATATTGATGATTCATTTGATACATGGAAGACTACTGAGATCCATGTTCAAATATCCATTCAAATTCAGTTGTTCAGTTGGGTCAATCACAAATTCTTAGCAATGCAAAGGATTATCATCAATTATATCTTGAAGTGCTGGGGATAGATTTTATAATTGCAGACCTATCCCTGCAGAGAGAAATACAGATACATCCATCTACACATGAGTATACATGGCGAAAATCTATGTCTTTCAAACCTGACAAAATGGCCCAAAATGGTTACAGTCAAATCTTCTGAGCTAAATTTAGAGATGTGGGGGCTTTAACTGATGAAATGATGCCGAAAGCCTCTGCAAGCTTTAAAGCACTTTTGCTCATGGAAGTCCTCAGCTGCAAATAAGAATAGAAAATACTGTCTATAACCCCTCTGGTGATATCCTTGTTCAAGTAGTCCTCACTTTACCTACCTCAATTGGAACTGATATTTGCATCATTAGGCAGCTCAATCATTAAGCATGATGTCACATGGACTTCCGGTTTGGTGTCCCAGCGATGCAGTTAGAGAAATTGCGGGCTCTGACGAGCCCCGCGAAAACCCTGACTGACGAGCCGCCACCGATGGGTCTTTGGACCAAACCTGTCTTGTAGGGACAGGGGAAGGAGAGGGGCACCTCGGAGGACCGAGAGGAACAGGCAAGTTCCTCGGAGGCCGGAAGGAACCTTCTGAGTCGGCAGCGGGGGGAGGCAGCCATGGCGGCTGCCACGAAGCTGGGACAAACCATGAAAGAATTGTGCAGGAGGAAAGAAGAAAGAACAATGTCCTTTGAAGCCGGGTGAGTGACACCAACCCAGGCGAGAAACAACGTTAGATTATGGACTTTTACTAATAAGACCCCTAGCCTTAAACAGCGGCTGCAGATTTGTGGGGCTTGAAGATTTTGTAAAGTAACAATAGGGGATAACGACCTATTAAGGAATTTACTTTAGTACTGATTGTTTTGGAAGAATTGGCTATTAACAAATTAGAAAACTGAGTTTTCCTTCAAATTGGAACAGATTCGATCTTTGGAAAAAGAGAAAAGAGATAAATAACGACTTAACACCTTTAAAAGTTAGATGAAGCAATGCAAACGGATGGTTACCTAATTGCTACAAAATGGAGATTGCTGTGACTAAGCGAAAATGTAAATTGTGGAAACTCTCCTTTTGCTTGAAAAAGAACTATTTTGACTGGCTATTTACCCTGGATTACTTAGAAAATAACTATGGATTTTTGGATTTTGGAGATTTCTATTCTGCCTATGGGTGGTTTTATAAGGAAAGAAGAAATATAATGGAACTAATAAAATCGAAACTAACTGGTGCAGGGACAAAAGTGGCACAGGAACAAAATAAGGAAACTGATGGATTCTACATGGAACAGACTTTACAATAAAAATAAAATGATATATAGATTTTCAAACATGGATATACTGATTTTGACGTGGAATACTTATGGACAGATAGGGAAATCAAGAAATAAAATAGATAAACTTAAAATGTAATGTTTAAATGAGTTTTAAATACAAGCAGGAGGTCTCTATGGAGAAATAAAGATGGAAAATAAAAGAAGGTAACTAAAATAGAAATGTGATGTTAAGGTGGTTAAAAATGACATTTTTACAAAAGCATAGGAGTATATATTAATATGAGACAAACTTAAGAAAATTTATTAGACTATGGGAGAATAAGTGGAGAATGTCTGATGCAATATGTTGTAATTTTAAATTGTAAAATTTATTAGACTATGGGAGAACAAGTGGAGAATATGTTTGATGTAACATGTTTTAATTTTAAACAGTAAACAAAGGAGAATGGTAAATATGATTAAATGTGAATGATTAATGAATTATTGGATGATAAAATAAGAAATGCAGACTTAAGTAACAATTTGAGATTGAATTTAATGTATTTTGGAAATGATCAACATTAAGAAATAGGTTGGGAAATACCCTGGAAGAGTATATTTAGAAATAATTAAATAATAGATAAATATACTGAAAAGAAAACACTCAAAACAAGATATGCTGGGTATCAGCCAAACAAGAGATGGAGATGTGGAGGAGAATATGCTGGAAATCAACCAAAATAAAATATGCTGGAAATCAGCCAAACAATAGTTGGAGGTAGGGGGGAAAATATGCTGGAAATTAGCCAAAATAAAAAAAATGCTGGAAACCAGCCAAACAACAGTTGGAGTTATTGAGGAGAGTATGCTGAAATTCAGCTACAATAAAATTTGCTGGAAATCAGCTAAACAATAGATGGAGATATAGAGGAGAATATACTGGAAAATAGTCAAATTAATATGGGGTGAAAAAGAATATGTTGGAAGACAATTAAAATGAAGTGAAATGATTTTGAGATTATTCTGTATAAAATGAAATGTGTAATAGAGGATAAATTCAAGAAAATTAAGTGTAAATTGACAAAGTTTAAGATCTAAAGATTGAATGAAATGGGTCCAGACATTAAGAAATACAGATAGAATTTTGATTTATAAATTGAAATAAAAATAGAGTTGTATATATTGGAAATTAAGATTTGTGGTGATAAAATAGTAAGGTAAATACTTAGATCAAGAGGTTATAATAATATTTCTTAAATTTATGTTTTGATATTGATGTTAAAAGAAGTAATGGAGAAAATTTAGGAAAGAGTTGGAATGAACATTGATTTATATTTGGATATAAAAATAAGTGGAGTTTATTTAGGAATTAAGATTTGTGGTGATATAATAGTATGGCCTAAATTAACATGTTAGAATTTATGTTAAAAAATTTTGTTTTGATTTGTAATTTTAAAAGATGCAAAGATCCCGTCTGGACTATTGTAACGCTCTCTACATGGGGCTCCCCTTGAGGAGCACTCAGAGGCTCCAACTGGCGCAGAGTGCGGCCGTGCGGGTAGTGATGGGAGCGACGTGGCGCTCCCATGTAACACCTCTCCTGCGCGAGCTGCACTGGCTCCCGGTGGTCTTCCGAGTGCGCTTCAAGGTTTTGGTTATCACCTTTAGAGTGCTCCATGGCTTAGGACCTGGTTATTTACGGGACCGCCTGCTACCACCAATAGCCTCCCACCGACCAGTACGCTCCCATAGAGAGGGGCTCCTCCGGGTGCCGTCGGCCAAACAATGTCGACAGGCAGCCCCCAGGGGGAGAGCCTTCTCTGTGGGGGCACCTACTATCTGGAACGAGCTCCCCCCGGAGATACGGAGGATCCCGGATCTGCGTACCTTCCGTCGCGCGCTCAAGACTTTCCTATTTTGTCAAGCCGGCCTGACCTAAGTCTTTCCCCTTTTTAATGGAAATTTTAAATTTGGTTTTAAATTATTGGGGGTTTTAAATTCGTTCAGCCAAATTATTTAATTCGTTTTAATCTATTTTAAATTTTGTATTTATATGTTTTATTCTATTGCTGTTCACCGCCCTGAGTCCTTCGGGAGTAGGGCGGTATACAAATTCAAATAAATAAATAAAATAAAATAAAATAAAATGAAGGAATTTTGATTGGAGTTTGTTAAAAAATGTAAGCGATTGTACCTATTTATGACTGGATCAAGACTTCGTTCTTAAAAGATATATTTTATGTTTATGTTTGAAAAAAAAAATATTTTTTTTAAAAAAATTAAGCATGGTGTCACATGACAGTGCCAATTTACATCTGTTCCTCTGTCGTTGTTTAGCAAATTACTGAGGGATTTCCGGCTGTACTTCTGGCGCCTTTGGAGCATGAATCGTGAGCTCCACGGTCCTGTTCCGAGCTCTCTCTTTCGGAAGGCTGAAATGTGAGCCACAGCCCCTCTGGAGGAGTTGTGAAGTAAAGGGGGACCGCCTGGCAGGTCGAGGAGAGCCGCATCTCTCCTCTCTGCTCAGGAAAACCCCCTTATCTGAAGACAAAGAACAGCAGCAGCAAAAATATCTGCCACCAAGCTGGGGACAGTCAGAATACGTAGGACTGTGCTGGAGCTGAGAAAGTGAATGGTGTGCAAACTGGGTGAGAAAATACTTTTAATTGCAATCTGACCCCAAGAAAATGGAGAAGGCATTTTAAATGTTGGAATTATAACTACAAACTTTTGTTTCATCATAATCGCTCATTTATTGGATTTACAACTTAAAATAATTGAAATTGGATTTTTTAACAATAAAGCAGAGAGGCTGGAGTAGACTGAAGTCAGAGTGCCGTCTGCTGATAAAACATGAACTAAGCAACTTTGGAAATAACTACTTTAAAAAGACTGAAAATACTTGTTGGATAGGTTTCTAAATTAAGACCACTGGAGATTAAATAAAAGATTCTTGAATATTACTGAACATATAAAAGTGACTTGAAGAGGGTGGAAAACTCCCTGGTGCACCAAAATTGTATTGATGAAATATTTAAAACTGTGACCTGGAAATCTTGTAAGCTAAACGGATTGAAGCCATCTCAAAGCACTAAGGAACTACTTGGTCACATGGACCAAATGTTTGATTGCATAGTTGAAAGACTGGAAAATATAATGCAAGAGATAATGAGGAAAAATTTGAATAATGAGGGAAAAATGGAGTTATCAGAAAAAATGGGGGAGAAAGCAAGTGAGATGCCAACAAGATGAAGATAACAAGGAAGAGATACCACTAAAAATAAATATTAAGAAATTAAAACAGGAGGGAAATAATGTAAAAGATTTAAAGAGGGAATGGGAGACACAGGAAGAGAATTGGGGGAAAGAGAAGGGGCATGGAATAGATAGTTTTGAAATCAGACAGAGGGAAAAGGTAGAGGGAGGGAAAAAAAATCTCGATTATATAGTCAGAATATAGATTTTGAAATAGAGGGATAAAAAGGCTTAAAAGAGGAACACTAGAAGCAAGTTAAAAAAAAAGACTAAAAATTCAGAAGAGGCCAAGAGATGATGGATAAGAGGGGTAAAAAGAGTTAAAAATTATTGAATATATATTGATAATATATATTAGAATTATATAGGTTGGAATATGAATAAATGTATATTAAATGTTTAATGATTGTGTTTGGAACTAAAGTGTATACTGAAATATTGAATAATGAAAGAAGTAAGGATCAGGCCTTTGAATAAGAGTATGGGGGGGGGAAGGTTAACATAGAGGTAGAAATAAGAGGGGAATAATAGTATAAATAGACACTAAAATGTTACAATGTTGACGGCCGTGACCGGGAGGATCTTTCATCAGGTTCGCCTAATTTGCCAGTTGCGTCCCTTTCTGGATCAGGACTCCCTACACACAGTCACTCATGCCCTCGTCACTTCCCGCCTGGACTACTGTAACGCTCTCTACATGGGGCTCCCCTTGAGGAGCACCCAGAGGCTCCAACTGGCGCAGAGTGCGGCCACGCGGGTGGTTATGGAAGCAACATGGCACTCCCGTGTGACACCTCTCCTGCGCGAGCTGCACTGGCTCCCGGTGGTCTTCCAGGTGCGCTTCAAGGTTTTGGTCACCACCTTTAGAGCGCTCCATGGCTTAGGACCTGGTTATTTAGGGGACCGCCTACTACCACAAGCAGCCTCCCACCAGCCGGTACGTTCTCATAGAGAGGGGCTCCTCCGGGTGCCGTCAGCCAAACAATGTCGACTGGCGGCCCCCAGGGGGAGGGCCTTCTCTGTAGGGGTACCCACTATCTGGAACGAGCTCCCCCCAGAGATAGGGAGGATCCCGGATCTGCGCACTTTCCGCCGTGCTCTTAAGACCTTCCTATTCCAGCAAGCCGGCCTGGCCTTATTTTCTCCCCTGTTTTAAAATTCTTTTAAATTGAAATTTTAATCTGTTTTAAATTATTGAGATTTTTAATTGTCTCGGGCTAAATTATTTAATCTGGTTTTAATTATGTTTCTAACGTTTGTATCTATGTATTTTATATTGTGCCTGTTCACCGCCCTGAGTCCTTCGGGATTAGGGCGGTATATAAATTAAATAAAAACAAAACAAAAACAAAACAAAAAACAATGGATGGAAGAACTATGAGAAGGTTTAGAACTGAAGGATAGTAAAGATTATGTGTTAACAAAATGAAAAATGAAAATGAAATGTAATTATTAGGAATAATGTTAAGGACGTGGATTCACCTCCCTGTATTACAATCTCTGCACAAGAACTGGAGGTCATCCATGACTTTATGTACCTCGGCTCAGCTATCTCTGACACTCTTTAGAGATGTGGGGGCTTTAACTGATGAAATGATGCCGAAAGCCTCTGCAAGATTTGAAGCACCACTTTTGCTCATGGAAGTCCTTCAGCTGCAAATAAGAGCAGAAAATACTGTCTACAACCCCTCTGGTGACATCCTTGTTCAAGTAGTCCTCACTTAACCTACCAGAATTGGAACTGATATTTGTGTCACTAAGCAGCCTGATTATTAAGCATGATGTCACATGACAAGGCCAATTTACATCTGTTCCTCTGTAGTTGTTAAGCAAATGATTTTGGGTTGTTAAAGACAATTTCATATGACCTTGGCTTGCAATTTACTACCAGCATACCCACTGATTTTGCTTATCAGAAGCTAGTTGGGGAGGTCACAAATAGGGATCATGAGTGTGGAATGCTGCCACCATCATAAATGTGCAACTATTGGCAGAACCCGAGTTGGTGCAACACCTTTTCCTGCACCTTCAAAACCACAGTCACTGCTGAAGTGCGGTCCCTGAACAAGTGCTAGGATTACCACAAATTTTGTGGACCAGGTGCACGTCTGCTTCTACTGTGCCATAGTAACTTTGAAGGCTCAGGGAAGAAGTGGTAAGTGAGGACTTATTGGCAAGACATGGAAGTAAAAAAACGAACACTGAATGGTTGGATTGGGACAGAAGTTTCAATTCATTCCAGTGACGGGGCAGCCACAACCTCTGGATGGAAGCCATTCCCAAAGAATCAACTTTCCCTTGAAGGAGACTTTTTCAATCTTCCCACCAGCAGAAAATTGCAACCACCAACTTCACAGCCTGCAGCACCAGTGGGCTTCATTTTGGGGAGGGAAGGAACCTGCAGCAGCCGCAGCTGAGAGGCTTCAGCCCAGTTGCTTCTCTGCTTCCAGGCCGTGGAGGGAACCGGACAACCCAACTTGCTCCCAGACTCTCCTCCCACCTGCAGTCCTCAACTCACCTGCCAGCTGCTGCTTCGACCCTGGGAAGAAAAGCCACTCTGCATTCCACTTTCCTCCCATGAGCCCTCCAGAAGAGGAAGTTGCTCTGCGCGTCTCCTCTCATCACATCCTTTTTAGTCGTACAGTACTTGATGGTTTTAACTCTTTAAACTCAAGAGTTTAAACTCAGAGCCTGCCTACTGTATTGTCAGCTTTCTAGGCACAGATGTTGTCCCCTTGGCCTCCATCTCCTGATAGGAAACATTTGTCCAGTCTCTACCTAAGGCGTGTGGAAGGTGTTTTCACTGATTAAATGCTATCAAGTCATTTTTCACTTCTAGCAACCCACTTTTGCAACTGAGCCAAGTGTGATGTGCTCAGCTATTAACCTGAATAGAATAGAATAGAATAGAATAGAATAGAATAGAATAGAATTCTTTATTGGCCAAGTGTGATTGGACACATAAGGAATTTGTCTTTGTGCCGAGCTCAAAAGTTAATGACTTTTACAGAGTTACAGAATCAGCTTTCTTGGGGGTGTCTCTCAGTGGAGATCAAAGCCTCTCTACACCCTAAATCTTTATGACTTATTTAATGTGGCTCCCAAGGATTTAGGATGGGGCACCAAAGTCTCCAGGGAGCCAGCTTCACTCTTGCTGGCCAGGGCTGCATCCAGGGGCACGGAGGATAAAGCTTGATTCCTGAAGTAGGGAATTGTATATCTGCTAAATGTTAAATGCCATGTGTAAACTCTGTAAATTTACTTGCGGGGAAGTCTCCATTAGGTCACAGAGGAAAATACGCAGCAGGGGTTAGAAAATGAGGGCTAAGAAAGGGGACAATTGTCAATATAGAGTAAAAGAAATGTTTCTAAAATGCATTTAAAAGAAAAAGGGAAAATAGAATATCCCACCAAAGCACATGGCTGACTGATCACCAGGCTAACTTTATTACCGGGACACCCTATGCTGCCATTTTTAATGAAGATCTAGTAATTTTAGATGGTGATAGTGGTGTTTTAGCTATCGGATCTAAGCTCTGTTGTACTTAGGAAGCTGAAATATAAGAACCTCAACATATACAGATAGTCCTCAAGTTACGACCACAATTTATCCCAAAATTTTTGTTGCTATGTGACTCTGGACACTGCAACTGTCATAAATATAAGTCAGCTGTCAATCATCCGAATCTAAATCACATGACCATGGGAATGCTGCACACAGTCATAAGTGTGAAAAATGGTCATAAGTCGCTTTTTTCAGTGCCGCTGTAACTTTGAACGGTCACTAAATGAACTGTCCTGAGTAATTGTCCTAATATCTGCCTCCTTCTGGGTTGCTTACAGCAAGCTTTCTTCGGATAGCCTGCCCTCGGCTATGGTTACCTAAGTTTTTCTCCAAGCGCCCCAGATATCAGGGAGCGATTGAAGAGTCTGGGATTCAGGAAGCCTGGGAGTCCTGATTTATTTTAAAAGGACAGCAGACCTGTTGTCAAGGTTCTGACAGATGCCCTAATTAACTCATGAGTCTCAGCCAAGTTTCAAAAGGAATCCTATGATTTATTAGGAGCAGCATGTTGGCATCTACTCAAGTGAGGTCTGCTCTCCCACATGTAAGCTACGGCTCACCTTTGACCCTGTTCCCCCCCTCCTCCTTTCAGTCTGTGTCATATATCACATTTTGGGAGAGTAGCAGGATTACTAATTAACGAGGAAAAAATGAAAATATTAGTTAAAAACATGACACAGAGGCAGAGATGTCAGTTGGAGGGACTCCTGGGAATGCAGATAACCAATAAAATAAAACATTTGGGAATTTGGTTGACAGCAAGGTGTTCTTCGGTAAAGGATAATTAAGCTCCCCTTTATAATCAGACAGTTAGAGATTTGGAGGTGGAAAAATTTACAGCTATCACTTATGGGAAGGATTGCTGCCATCAAAATGTATGATCTCCCCAAATGGTTGTTTTTGTTCCAAACTGCCCCGGTAAGTCTGGATAGGGAATTGTTCAACACCTTGAACTGAGTTATTTCTAAATTTATTTGGCAAAGTAAAAAATCAAGGATTAAGCTCAGGATGATGCAGGAACCTAGACTTAGAGGGGGATTTGGACTCCCAAATTAGGAGCTTTACCATCAGGCAGCCATTCTGATATGGGTGAAGGACTGGATCGCCCTGAAAAGGAGGCGGCTATTGGCGGCAGAAGGCCACGGCCTTCAACACAGTTGGCACCACTTTTTATGGCCAGAATAGTCAGCCCGAGCGAGGAATTTTTGGAATCATTATTTACGTAAGATCCTAGGGGGATACCTGGGAAAGACTTAGGAGAAAGTTGTATCTGAAGATACCATGTTGGATCTCGATTCAGGAGGCCCTGGTATACCCGACATTATATAAAGGAGAGAAGGTCTTGACCTGATATTTTGGATACTCAGGGCAGACTGAAGACATGGGAACAACTGAGGTCGGAGGGGTGTAACATAGATGGGTGGGCCTATACCCAAATACTCAAGGTGGAAGAAAGATCAGGAGAGTGAAGGGATATACCATGGAAAACAAGAATTGGATAAAATCTTATTGGGTAATGACAGGAAAGTTTTATTGAAATGCTATTCTTACCTATTATCATGGAAAGCGGGGGAGGAAGTCGTTAAAGGCTCCATGATTGCCTGGTGGCGAAATATGGGTTATTCATTGGATTTTCAAAAATGGGAGGAGATTTGGCTTAAAAATTAAAAAGAGCCTTGATAGTACAGTGGTCTACGCACCCTGTTATTAACACAGCTGCCTGCAATTTCTGCTGGTTCGAATCTCTCCAAGGCTCAAGGTTGACTCAGCCTTCCATCCTTTCTAAGGTAGGTGAAATGAGGACCCAGTTTGTGGGGGCAATAAGCTGACTTTGTATAAAATATACAAAAGTATGAAGGCTATTGCTTAACGCATTGTAAGCCGCCCTGAGTCTCCGGAGAAGGGCGGCATATAAATCAAATTTTAAAAAAATAAAATAAAATTAATTTATAATCTCTTATAAAGAGAATATTTATAAGATGGTTTATCGATGGCACCTGCCTCCAGCAAGATTAGCTAAAATGTTCCCCGGGACATCTCCATAGTGTTGGAAATGTGGGTACAGCAATGGAACCTACTTCCACCAATGGTGGACATGCCCGTTGGCAGTTAAATATTGGATGAAAATACGATGATGGTTGCTTGAAATCACACACTGTGAATCCACTGTAGAGTGGAACTGAAACCGGAAACCTTTTTGTTGGGGGTTAGACCCGCAAATATTGGATTGACTAAATGGTATCTGATGTTGCACATAATCACTGCAGGGAGACTGGCATTTGCACAAGAATGGAAGAATGAGGATTTACCAACGGATTCAAAAATAATTTATAAAATCATGGATTGTGCGGAGTGCGATAGACTTACAAAACTGATCTGGTTAATACATGGATGGGACAGGAAATACCATATTTATTGGCAAAACATGGAAATAAAAAAATGAACACTGAATGGTTGGATTGGGACAGACGTTTCAGCTCATTCCAGTGACGGAGCACCCAGAACCATTCCCAAAGAACCAACCTCCCCTTGAAAGAGGCTTTTTCAAGCTTCCCACCAGCAGAAATTGCAGCCCCCAGTTTCCCAGCCTGCAGCACCAGTGGGCTTCCATTTGGGGAGGGAAGGAACCTGCAGCAGCCGCAGCTGAGAGGCTTCAGCCCAGTTGCTTCTCCGCTTCCAGCCCAAGTTGCTCCCGGCCTCTCCTCCCACCTGCTGCCCTCCACTCACCTGGCAGCTGCTGCTTCCACCATGGAAACAGCACAAGAGCCGCTCTGCACACCAACTTCCTCCCATCAGCCATCCGGAAGAGGAAGTTCCTCTGCGCTTCTCCTCTCCTCCCATCCTTTCTAGCCATACCTTACTTGATGGTTTTAACTCGTTAAACTCAAGAGTTTAAACTTAGAGCCCGCCTACTGTATTGTCAGCTTTCTAGGCACAGATGTTGTCCCCTTGACTTCCATCTCCCGATAGGAAACATTTGTCCTGTCTCTACCTAAGGCGTGTGGAAGGTGTTTTCACTGATTAAATGCTATCAAGTCATTTTTCTCTTCTAGCAACCGACTTTTGCAACTGAGTCAAGTGTGATGTGCTCAGCTATTAACTTGAATAGAATAGAATTCTTTATTGGCCAAGTGTGATTGGACACATAAGGAATTTGTCTTTGTGCTGAGCTTTTTTACAGAAATACAGAATCAGCTTTCTTGGGGGTGTCTCTCAGTGGAGATCAAAGTCTCTCTACACCCTAAATCTTTATGACTTATTTAATGTGGCTCCCAAGGATTTAGGAAGGGGCACCAAAGTCTCCAGGGAGCCAGCTTCACTTTTTTTTTATTAAAAAGTTTTATCAAGTATTACAACAATTTTACCCATACCCATTTTTTTTGTTTCATTCATAAGCTATTTGAAATTTTTTAGTCCAATATTTGTTTTGAATATAGTCAATCCATCTTCTCCATTCCGATATATATCTTTCATTTGAATGGTCCTTCTCTGCTAAATTCACTACTTTTAATGTCCATTCTTCAATAGTAGGTAAGTCTTCCTTCTTCCAATACTGCACTACCAGAAGTCTGGCTGCTGTTATTAAATTTAAAATCAATTTAGTCTCTATAACCGTACAATCTGTAATTATTCCCAACAGAAAGAACTGTGGAGTAAATTTTATCTTCTTTTTGAGAATATTTTGGATAATCCACCATATTTTTATCCAAAATGCCTTAATTTTTTTACATGTCCACCATATATGATAATACGTGGCATCATCAGATTCGCATCTCCAACACTTAGCTTGCAAACTTGGATACATACAGGCTAACTTTTTAGGATCTAAATGCCATCTATAAAACATTTTATAAAAATTCTCTCTTAAATTTTGGGCTTGTGTAAACTTTACATTTCTAACCCATATTTTTTCCCACGTTTCCATCATTATTGGTTCTTCAATATTTTGTGCCCATTTTATCATACAGTCCTTAACTAGCTCCCTTTCTGAATCTATTTCTACCAATGCATTATACAACCTTTTTATATGCATTTGACTTTGGTCTCTAATTTGTTTTACCAAGTTCTCCTCATTCAACAAAATACCAGTTTTCTGGTATCCATCTAGCTTGCAGCTGTCCATACTGAAACCATGTTCGAATTATCTTTTCTTCTCTTAATTGATTCAAAGATTTTAATTATAGTATACCTCTTTCCTTAATAAGAAGCTCTTTATAGGTAGTCACATCTTGTTTTTGCTCTACACTTATATTCTCTATCGCGTCTGGGTATTGCCCACATTGGTAACTTATCATTTAATTTATACTGATACTTTTTCCAGACACGCAATAAAGCATTCCTTAATATGTGACTTGTAAAAGTCTTATCCACTTTCTTATCATATAATAAATAAGCATGCCAACCATAAACCAAATCATATCCCTCAATATTCAATATTCTTTCTTCTGTTGAATTCATCCAGTCACTAATTACTGATAGGGCAGCTGCCTCATAATATAATCTTAAATTGGGCATTTTGAGACCTCCTCTTTCACGTATATCCTGCATTATTTTTTGCTTTATTCTCGGTCTCTTTCCTGCCCAAACAAAATTATTAATACCCTTCTGCCATATCTTCAAATTTTCATCTTTCTTAAGTATTGGTATCATTTGAAAAAGAAATAAAAACTTAGGCAAAACATTCATTTTTACTGCTGCTATTCTTCCCAACAAAGATAACTGTAATTTTTTCCAATTTTCCATCTCTCTCTGTATTTTTTGCCACAACGGATCATAATTATGCTTAAATAATTTCGCATTTGATGTCATAATATAAACCCCTAAATACTTAACTTTTTTTACTATTTCAAATCCTGTTAGTCTTTCTAACTCTTCTTTTTGATTTGTAGTCATGTTTTTAGTTATTATCTTCGTTTTCCCTGCATTTATTTTAAATCCAGATACTTGTCCATATTGATTAATTATATCCATTAAAGCTACAAATGACTGTAATGGTTGGGTTAAAGTAACAACCAAGTTGTCTGCAAATGCTCGTAATCTATAGTCATACTGCCTAATTTTAATTCCACTTATTTTATTCGATCCACGTATTTTACTCAGCAAAAATTCCAAAGTCAAAATAAACAATAATGGAGACAAGGGACATCCTTGTCTTGTTCCTTTTTCTATATTAAAAGTATCTGTTAAACTACTATTAATTATTATTTGCGCTGTTTGTTTCTGATATATTGCCTTAATAGATTTGTGTAAAATATTCTCCAAACTGCATCTTTTGTATTATTTTCCATAAGAAATGCCAATTCAATCGATCAAATGCTTTCTCCGCATCAAGAAATATTAGCACCGCAGGGATTTGGTTGTTCTTCCCCAAATACTCTAATAGGTTAACAACTTGCCTTACATTACTCTTCATTTGTCTACCATTTATAAAACCAGTTTGGTCATTGTGAATCATTTGTTGCATGACTGTCATTAAGCTATTTGCTAGTATTTTAGCAAAAATCTTATAATCTGTATTTAAAAGTTATATAGGCCTATAATTTTTTGGCTGGGTGTGGTCTTGATCCTCCTTTGGAATCAGAGAAATAAAAGCTGTCCTCCAGGTTGGGGGTACATCTCCTCCAGATTGTATATTAGTAAATAATTTCTTAAGTGGTCCCACCATTTCTACCTGCAAGTATTTATAATAAGCGGCTGTCAAACCATCTGTCCCAGGTGCTTTACCCACTTTCAACTGCTTAATTGCAAACATAATTTCCTCAGAAGTTATCGGTTGATTTAAACCCTCCCTTTGCTCTTTTGTAATTATAGGAATATTCTTTTTCTGTAAATATCTATCTATATCTATATTTTGAATTTTATCACTAGCGTATAACCTCGTGTAAAATTCTAAAAATGCTTTTTTAATCATATTTTGCTGATAAACCTCTTTACCTTTATATTCTATTTTCTCTATAGTCCGTGACTTTTGTTTTTTCCTTAACAGATATGCTAACCATCTCCCTGGTTTGTTAGCATTGCAAAAAGTATTGTGTTTAGCATATTGCAAGTTAGTTGCAACCTGATCTGCCATTAACATATTAAACTGCCCTCGCAGTAAGTTAATTGCCTCTTTTATTTTCTTGTCTGTTGGGTTCAATATCAAAGCTATATATAAAAGCCTGGTGGCGCAGCAGACTAATAGCCTGTTATTATCATTCAGCTGCCTGCAATTACTGCTAGTTCGAATCTCCCCAGGCTCAAGGTTGACTCAGCCTTCCATCCTTTCTAAGGTAGGTAAATTGAGGACCCAGTTTGTGGGGGCAATAAGCTGACTTTGTATAAATATACAAAAGTATGAAGGCTATTGCTTAATGCATTGTAAGCCACCCTGAGTCTCCAGAGAAGGGCGGCATATAAATCAAATAAAAAAAAAAAAAGCTTGTTCTTTTTTTTTTAATTTCCTCTTCTAAGTCCTTCCTTTTTTTTTCCAGAAAAGCAAGGAAAAATCAAGCTGCTAACAAGGAACCTGCTGATACTCATTCTACATTCCTGCCAGCTGCATAAAGGAAACTTTGTAAGAAAACAGCTACTAGTGCTTAGAGATAATAGAAGTTGGAAGTCAGAAGTTCGGCTCCATTTACAAGTAGGCAGAAAACTCATTCAAGATAGGATATTTCACAATGGAAATCGCCCAAACCTTTTTAGAAACACAAAGCCCATGTTGCACAAAGCCCATGTTGCACAAAACACAGAACCATATAAGAATCCTTTCTCTTATCCGGTTTGTTGTTCAGCTAACCCAGAAACGAACTGCTGAATGTCACTTCGCTTCTGCAAGTAAAAACCTCCTTCCAACAGCTGCTTCTTGGTTTGTCAATTTAAAGCTATGGCCGTCCTGTTTTTTTTTTTTCTCTTCTTTGTCAAGTAAGCCCTGATTTTTTCCTTCTAGCCAAACAGCTGAGAGACTGGGAGGCTGCGAATAGATTGGGTGCGGGGCCAGGCAGAGGTGGCATTTACCGGTCGTAAGAGCCAGGGAGAACATTTAGCAACCCACCACTGATTTGATTGCATTTTAGTTTACTCAATTTTGTTAGATACATAGAGTTAGTAAGTTTTTGGGGTCTATTTTATCTCTGTTATTGCAAGGAGATACCTTGTTGGATATTTTGCTATTTCCTTTGTGTTAGTTTTAATGTTTCTTTCTTCTTTGTATATTGAAATTCAGTTAATATTTCTCTATTTCTGCTCTGCACTTAACTCTTAATCATGACATAAATTATTAGTTTTATCCTCATATTGATCCCCATTGTTCCCCTTTCTTGTCTTCTGGAGGTTTTGTTGTGTGCATCAGACATCTCCAATACCCACCCACCCCCAAGGAAAAATTGCAGAATTGGAATAAAAAGAAAAAAGACTCTTGGCAATGAACTCTGTAGTACCCAGCCAACCACAAAGTCTTTCAATGTCTTCTGTTCCTTGTCCTATTTTATTCAGAAATCTGTGTCCACTAAATATAATTTATCTTCACGGGGGTGATTTCTGAGCATTGTTTTAGAAAGCAAGATTATGCCCTATGGTGTAGCCCTGTCAAAGATTCAGAAACTTTTGGTCCAAATGTTGATCCCTCTGGAATTGTTAGCAAAAGATAAACTATTTCTCTTTCATCTCCTTTTCTCCTTATATGAGGAACCACAATCTCTAACTGCAGCCTGAGTGCTCTTATCCTGAAGAGATGCTGCCTGGGGAATTTTGGGGCTGAAAATCTCGAAGATACGCAGGGAGAATAAGGCTGAGACCCTTATTATTTCTATTCCAGTTATGAAGGGAGGAGTGTCAGAGTATATTCATCAACCGGAATAGGACATGTTAACAAGGTCAGCCAATGTATAGGCATAGCAACTAAGTAAGCCAATGAGGGCTGTTTGGGAGCTGAGAGAGACTGGAGCCAGGGTGTGTCTTACTCTGCAACTTCTGAGTCTGTGCAGAGAAACTGAAACTAGTCTGCTCTGCTGAAATGAAACTAACTGTTCTCTCCTGCTGTGTGTTTTGCTTGTAATTGCTACTACGTTGAAGAAGAATCTATATTGGTATTGCACATTTAACTTCATGTATTATAGGTATATAGAGAAGTTAATGAATCCTGCTGAATCAATTATCTGTGTGTGCAGATTTCTGGATTTGATTTTTGCAAGAAACTCTGATAGGTTATGGGCCCAGAGCACACAGAAGACTGCATTGTAATTAAGCTGAGAGACTGCCTGTGTTTAAAAGAGAAAGAAGGCAGAGAAAGCTTGCAAGATGGCTGCTGTTGAATTTAAGGAGAGCTCTCTGCCTTGTTTGGGACAGAAGAACTATATTATTTTCTCTGCAAAGTTAGAATGTTTCCTGAGGGCTAAGGAACTCTGGGATATTGTTGTAAATCTACCCCAGGCATTTGCAGCTGCAGAGCAGAGGGAGCATGATAAAGCAATGGCTTATACCATCTTGAGTTTAGAATATGAACAATTTATCAATGTAGCTAATTTAAAGACTGCACATCAAGTCTGGATGAAGTTAAGAAGGGTGCATGTGAGTGTGTCAGCATGCAAAATTGTACAATTATCAAGAAAATTATACAGAACCTGTTTGCAACCAGGTGAATCTGTGGAACAACATTTTATACAAATGCAAACTTTGTTTGTGGAGTTAGAACAGCATGGGATGCAGTTTCCTGAGTCCCATATGGGTGCTGCTAGTGTTAAACAGTCTTGATGAAATGTGAGACATTGTTTCTGCAGTGTTTGAGTGCACACCAGAGCAGGAGTTGCGTTTAGAGGCTTTAAAGGCTTGTTTGATTGCTGCGGAGCAGAAACACCATTATGTGTTACAGACTGGCTGTTTGCAAAGAGAAACGTAGCAGCAGAAGAGACCAGAATGCAGCCCAGCAAGCCCAGCAACAGGGGTGATGCTTCATTTGTGGTGTAAATACACATTTAAAGAAGGACTGTTTGCAAAGAAAAGGTTATTTGCAAGACAAAAATTATTTGCAAGGAAGACAATTGCAAGATGGACAGGTTGCTGTTGCAAAAGTTGGCTATTGCAATAGCAGAGACAAATGGTTAATAGACAGTGGGGCAAGTCAAACAATTATTAATATTTCTAAATTGTTTTACAGAATGGATCCAGCTGCTAGAGATGCAGTAGCCTTGGCAAATGGTCAGAAGGCTAAAGTCATTGAAAGAGGCAGTGTGCAAATTCCATATCTGAAAAAGAGGTTTAATGATGTATTATGTGTGCCTGAAATGGAGCATAATTTACTCAGTGTCTCTAGTTTAGACAAGCAAGGATTTGAGACCACATTTGCAAATGGGAGGTGTCTCATAAAGAGAAATGGGAATGTATGTGCACAGGGCATAAAAAGATAATCTTTATGTGTTGCAGGGACAAAAGGTTCAATGTGCACAAATATTTGGAAATGTGCCACAACATGATTCCTGAGTTCATCTCTTGCACAGGAGGCTTGGCCATGCTAGCTTCAGAGTTTTGCAACAAATGCAAGATTTTGCAATATCCTTCCCCCAGGAGTGGGGAGGGAATGGGGATTTTGCAGTATCCTTCCCCTGCCATGCCCACCAAGCTACACCCACAGAACCAGTAGTAAAAAATTTTGAATTTCACCACTGGATTGGAGGTATTCCAGGAGGCTGATCCACCCACCAATCAGCGGCTCATGCTAAATCAGGCTGCAATAATGTGCTGAAGCTGACCTGGCTGTTTGCTATTTGCTGCAAGGAAGCTAGCCAGATGAATACCGATGGATCCTGGTAGGCAGAGGCAGAATTTTTTTCCTCCCAAAAATTAAAGTGCGTCTTATACTCCGGAGTGTCTTATACTCCAAAAAATACGGTATTTCTCTTCTCCTCTCGTTTTCTCATTATATGAGTAGTCACAATGTCTAACTATAGCCTGAGTGCTGTTATCCCAAAGAGATACTGCCTGGGGAATTCTGCGGCTGAAAATATCGAGGACACCTAGGGAAAAGAAGGCAGGGCCTCTGCATATGGCATTTCTATCATTTGTTATGATAAAATTGGGAAGGACACTCCTAAGAAGATGTTTGCAGCTTTCTACAATTTTTGCAAAAATAAAATATCCAGCAATTTCTGCTGCTAATGGCCAAACAGTCCTTATCAAATTAACATGTTCCACTTTTTTCTTTCCTCCTTCCCATCTAATACCATGACCTATTTGATGACAAAAAATCAGGCAAATTCTTTGTACTCAAATTAAAGAGTCAATTTCCCAGTTGAACTTACAATGGGACATTTGAAATGAAATTCAAGCCTTCTCTACACTCATCACTTTGGGCCCCACGTGCATTTTCTTGTGTGCGATAAAGCTGGAAGGTTTCCTGAAGCATCATGCACACTCAGGGCACTTAAATGGTTTCCCCCCCCCGTGTGTATGATTTAGAAGGCTATCTAAAGTACTAAAGTAGAAGTACTGAAATTTTTGCCACAGTCTGGACACTCATATGGTTACTCTCCTATGTGAGTCCTCTGGTGACTCACCAGTTGAGAATTCCAAAGGACCTTTTCCTACTATCTGGTCACATATGCTTTTTCCCTGGAGTGAGTCCTCTGGTGTCTAACCCAGCTGGAATTATCACTGAAACTTTCCCCACAATCAGGACATTAAAATGGTTTCTCTCTTGTGTGAGTTCTGTAGTGTATCACCAGGTTGAAATTTTGACTGAAACCTTTCCCACAAACAGGACATTCAAAGGGTTTCTCTCCTGTGTGAGTCCTCTGTTGTATCACCTGGCTGGAATTTTGACTGAAAGCTTTTCCACAGTCAGGACAATCAAATGGTTTCTCTCCTGTGTGAGTCCTCTGGTGTGTCATCAGGCTGGAATTGTGATTGAAACTTTTCCCACAATCAGGACATTCAAAGGGTTTCTCTCCTGTGTGACTCCTCTGGTGTGTCACTGTTGTGTGCTGTTGTGTGAAACTTTTTTCACAATCAGGGCATTCAAAACACTTCTCTCCTATATGAATCCTCTGTTGTCTCATGAGGTGGGAATTTCCAATTAAACTTTCACACAATCTGGACATTCATACATGATGTGAGTCCTTTGATGTATCACCATGTTGCCATGCTCCCTGAAGTATTTACCATGTACGTGTTATGGTGGTTCTCCTCCTACCTCTCTGGTCGGTCACAGTCGGTGTTTGTAAGAGGACAGAGGTTGACCCCTAGGCCCCTCGTTTGCAGGGTACCTCAGGGCTTGGTCCTCTCTCCCCTCCTATTTCACATCTACATGAAGCCGCTGGGTGAGATCACCTGGCGATATGATGATATCGACGCTGATGATACCCAGCTGTATATCTCTACCCCACGTCAATTCAGTGATGCAGTGGATGTGATGTGCTGGTGCCTGGAGGCTGTGAGGGTCTGGATGGGAGTCAACAGGCTCAGACTTAACCCAGACAAGACCGAGTGGCTGTGGGTATTGCCTCCTAAAGACTATGTTGATTGTCCATCCTTGGTTCTGGGGGGGGGAGAAATTGTCCCCCTCAGAACGGGCTTGCAATTTGGGTGTCCTCCTATACTCACAGCTAAGATTAGAGCAACATCTGACTGCTGTGGCTAGGGGGACCTTTGCACAGGTTTGCCTGGTGCACCAATTGTGATCCTACTTGGATCAGGAGGCTCTCCTCAGTCACTAATGCCCTTGTCACCTCACGGTTAAATTATTGCAACACGCTCTATATGGGCCTACCCTTGAAAAGTGTTCGGAGACTACAGTTGGTCCAGAATGCAGCCGTGCGAGCTATCGTGGGTGCACCTAGATACACCCACATTACACCAATTTTCCGCGAGCTGCACTGGCTCCCTTTTGTTCTCCGGGCACAATTCAAGGTGTTGGTTATTACCTTTAAAGCCCTACATGGCTCAGGGCCAGGTTATCTTCGAGACCACCTTCTACCATATAACTCCCAGCGACCGGCAAGATCCCACAGAGTTGGTCTCCTCCGGGTCCCATCAGCTAAACAATGCTGGCTTGCGGGCCCGTGGGGGAGGGCCTTCTCTGTGGTTGCCCCAGCTCTCTGGAACCAATTACCTCCTGAGGTCCGGACCACCCCCACCCTATTGGCCTTCCGAAAAGTGGTGAAGATGTGGCTTTTCTGGCAGGCCTGGGGCCGTTGATCTCGCTGTTGCGATCTTACAAGATCTGTCTATGAATGGTGTGAATGGGTTTTAATGTTTTAATTTTTAAATATTTTTATAATGGTTTTTTTTTAAAACGCATTGTAAGCCGCCCTGAGTCTCCGGAGAAAGGCGGCATATAAATTGAACTAATAAATAAAATAAATAAATATATACCACATTGGGAGCACTTTTAAAACTTGTTTCCTGTGTGGATGTCCTTGTACATAATCAGCTGCGATTTAGATCCTGTGTTTTTCCCACAACAGGCATATCTATGGAGCTTTTCCAACACTTAAATTTTTGAGGTTAAAAATATGTATGATCCATTGTTTAGTCGTGTTTTGATTAAATCCGGTTTTTTCTTCCCAATGAGGGAACACTTCCCAGTGACAGAAGCAGTGAGGCCTGCTTCTGTCTGCCCTACGTGGCTCTCCAAATGATCTTTTTCCTTCCCAGTAACTGCCAGATATTTCCCTCTATTTCTGGAAAAAAAAGTCTCCCTTGACTATTCATGTAATGTATGCTTGAGTTCTGTATAATCTACTTATTCCAGTTTGAAATCTTTCTTAATTTTTTCTCTTTTGTTTATCTGCTGCTGGAGAAGGAGAATTGTGTGAAAGAAACATTTTGATTTCTGGCTTGATTTTCTTTCCTTTTCAAAGTTGCTTGTTATTATCAGTTTTCCAGTGTGTTCTTATTGCCATCTTCTTTGCCTATGGGATTCAAAGTAAAGTGTAACGTTAATTGTTTATAAAGTGATTGTAGAAAATGTGAAAAAAGAAAAAAGTTTACGCTACAATGAAAAAGCGAATATGCCACATTGCTAGAATAACGTCTTACATTAATCATGATCCATTTGATACAAAATGCTGTGGATACAGTATATTGGAATTTCAGTAAGGCATTTGATAAAGTAGACCTCAATCAACTTCTTGGCAAGTGAAGAAAATGTGGGATAGATAGCTCTTATTGTGAAGGGATGCTGCCTGGAGAATTGTGGGGCTGAAAATCTCGAGGATACCCAGGGAGAAGAAGGCTGGTACTCTGCATGGGGCATTTCTATCATTTATTATGATAAAAAAGGCAAAGAACACTCCTAAAAAGATTTTTGCAGAATTGTACAATTTCTGCAAAAATAAATATCCAGCAACTGCTGCTCCTGATGGCCAGACAACATTATCAAATGAACATGTTCCAATTTTTTTTCTTTCTTCCTTCCCATCTAATACCATATCATATTTGATGACAAAAAATCAGGCAAATTGTTTGTATTCAAATTAAAGAGTCAATTTCTCAGCTGAACTTACAATGGGACATTTGAAATGAAATTCAAGCCTTCTCTACACTCATCACTTAGGGTCGTAGGTGGATTTTCTTATGTGCAGTAAGGGTGGAAGGGTTCCTGAAGCACTGTCCACACTCGGGGCACTTAAATGGTTTCTCCCCTGTGTGTATAAGCACATGATTTAAAAGGCTAGCCCTAGTACTGAAATCTTTCCCACAGTCTGGACACTCATATAGTTTCTCTCCTGTGTGAGTCCTCTGGTGTGTCACGAGGTTGGAATTCTGACTGAAACTTTTCCCACAATAAGAACATTGAAAGGGTTTCTCTCCTGTGTGAGTCCTATGGTGTTTTAGCAGATCGGAATTCCGATAGAAACTTTTCCCACAATCAGGACATTGAAAGGGTTTCTCTCCTGTGTGAGTCCTATGGTGTATCACCAGGTCGGAATTCCTACTGAAACTTTTCCCACAATCAGGACATTGAAAGGGTCTATCTCCTGTGTGATTCCTCTGGTGTATCAGTAGGCTGGAATTATCGCTGAAATGTTTCCCACAATCAGGACATTCAAATTGTTTCTTTACTGTGTGAGTCCTCTGGTGTTTCACCAGGCTGAAATTCTCACTGAAACATTTTCCACAATCAAGACATTGAAAGGATATCCCTTCTGTGTGAATCCTCTGGTGGCTAATCAGGTGAGGATTTCTAACGAAACTTTTTCCACAATCGGGGCATTCAAAGAGTTTCTCTCCTGTGTGAGTCCTCTGGTGTATCACCAGGTTCGAATTTTGACTGAAAGCTTTCCCACAATCAGGGCATTCAAAGGGTTTCTCTCCTGTGTGAGTCCTCTGGTGCCTAACAAGGTGGGAATTTGTAATGAAACCTTTTCCACAATCAAGACATTCAAAGGGTTTCTTTCCTGTGTGTGTCGTCTGGTGGTTCATTAGGCTGTAATTGTGACTGAACCTTTTCTCACAGATAGGGCATTCAAAGGGTTTCTCTTCTTCAATTTTTTTTCTTCCTGTTGTGAGTCCTTATGCTTAGTATAGTATTTACCACATTGGGAGCACTTTTAAGACTTTTCTCCTGTGTGGATGATCTTGTGCATAATCAGCTGTGATTTGCAATCTGTGCTTTTCCTCACAATAGGTTCATCTATGGAGCTTTCCCAACATTTATATTCTTGAGGTCAAAAATTCATGTGATCCCTTGTTTAGAAGTATTTTGATTAAAGCCAGTTTTCTGCCAGAGCGAGGCCTGCATCTCTGTCTGCCCTACGTGGCTCTCCAAGTGACTTCTTCCTCCCCAGTGAGTTCCAGATATTTCCCTCTTTTTTCTGAATAAAAAATAATCTCCCTTGACTTTTCATGTAATGTATCCTTGAGTTTTGCATACTCTACTTTTTCCAGCTCGAAATTTCTTCTTAATTTTCCTCTCCTTTATCTCTCACCTGATCAGGAAGAAGAAGAATTTTGTGGTTTTTTAAAGGAAATGAAAAATATTTTGATTTCTGGCTTGAATCTCCGCGGGAAGTTTCTGCCCTCTCTGAGCTCACCTTAGGACACTTGCGTTACAGTTTGACAGGTGTACCACCCCAGTCAAACTCCTCACCTGATGCTGTCCCCGAAGTGGGTCATACATAGCATGTGCCAGGAGCTTGGGCCACAAGCGAGCCCCCCTCGGGGCTTGTCCACCCGTTTTACTGGGTAAGTGAAAAAATGTTCAGATTTTTGTGGTCAGTCCAGAGTTCAAACGGTTTCTGCCCCTCTTCCAGCAGGTGGCGTCAGGTTAGCAGTGCCCATCTTACTGTAAAAGCCTCTTTTTCCCATGCGGCCTCTCTGTGTCCATGAGCTTGTAGGAGATGTAGGCGCAGAGCTGTAGTTTTCCTTGGCTATTTCTTTGGATAATAGCCAATTTCTTTGCTCCCAGTGTCACGTCACTGGCTTGGATAATGAAGGGTTGTTCGGGGTCAGGATGCTTCAGCACCAGTCCTTTGCAAAAAGTTCTTTTAGTGTTTCAAATGCCTTTGGGCAGGTTAGGTCCCACTGTAGGGGTTGCCCGGGGTGGGGCTTCGTCTCCTAATAAGTGGAATTATTTTGAAGCTTGACTCAAGGCTCATGATTTAATTAGGGAATCAGTTGGAACCCTGACATTATCATCAGTTGTCCAGTGTGCTTTTATTGCCATCTTTTCTGCCTATAAGATTCAAAGAAAAGTGTAATGTTAATTGTTTATAAAATTGTTGTAGATATGAAAAAAAGAAAACAATGAAAAAACAAACATGCCACAATGCTAGAATGACCACTTAACATTAATCATGATTGATTTGACACATGGAAGACAACCAAGATCCAAGTTCAAATGTCCATTCAATCATGAAATTCTCTTGTTGATTTGGGTCAATCACAAATTCTTATAGTGTAAAGCCAAATGTATAACTCATTTTGCTCATGGAAGTCCTCAGCTCCAAATATGGGCAGAAAATACTGTCCACAACCACTCTGGTGACATCCCAATTCAAGCATCTCCACCCCGGATCACCCCAACGATGCCCTTGATGTGATGTCCCGATGCCTGGAGGCTGTGCAGATCTGGATGGGAGAAACAGGCTCAGCTCAACCCATCCAAAACCGAGTGGCTGTGGCTTCCGGCATCCCGATATAGTCAGTTGGTGCCATCGCTGACTATTGGGGGCGAGGCGTTGGCCCCCACAGAGAGCGCTCGCAACTTGGGCATCCTCCTGGATACAGGGCTGTCTTTAGAAGAGCATGTGACGGCTGTGGCCAGGGGGGCTTTTTATCAGGTTCGCCTGATTCACCAGTTGCGTCCCTTTCTGGATCGAGATGCCTTACGCATGGTCATTCATGCTCTCGTCATGTCCTGCCTGGACTACTGTAATGGTCTCTACATGGGGCTCCCCTTGAAGGGCACCTGGAGGCTCCAGCTGATCCAGAATGCGACTCAGCGCTCCCATGTAACACCTCTCCTGCGCGAGCTGCACTGGCTCCTGGTGGTCTTCCGGGTGCGCTTCAAGGTATTGGTTACCACCTTTAGAGCACTCCATGGGTTAGGACCTGGGTATTTAGGAGACCGCCTTCTGCCACCGATAGCCTCCCACTGACCAGTACGCTCCCAAAGAGGGGCTCCTCAGGGTGCCGTCAGCCAACAATGTCAACTGGCGACCTCCAGGGAGAGAGCCTTCTCTGTGGGGGCACCTACCCTCTGGAATGAGCTGCCCCTGGAGATACGGCGGATCCCGGATCTACGTACTTTTCGCTGTACCTTAAAGACGTTCTTATTCCAACAAGCCAGGCTGGCCTAACTCTTTTAATTTTTTTAAATTTTTAACTGTTTAATTATGGGTTTTAATATAGGGGTGCTTTTAATTGTGGGCCAAATTAATTTAATCGGATTTTAATATTGTTTTTAATTTTGTATTTCTTGTGTTTTATCTGTTGGCTGTTCACCACCCTGAGTCCTTTGGGAGAAGGGCGGTATATAAATATAAACAATAAATAAATAAATAAATAAATAAATAAGCAGTTCTCACTTACTGACCACAAGTTGAACTGGCATCTGCATCACTAAACACTCTGATCATGAGCATGATGTCAATTGAGAGTGCCAACTTACATCTGATCCCCTGTAGTTCTTAAGCAAATCTTAGTTGTTAAAGGGAATTTCACATGACTGTGACTTGAGAATTCCTGCTGATAGCTCCACTGATTTGCTTGTCAGAAGCTAGTGCAATCATGAGTATGGGATACAGCGGCAATCGTATATGTGCACTGGTTGGCAGAATCCAAATTGGTCCATCTGTTTTTCCTGCACCTTCATAACCACAGCAACTGTGGACGTGCGGTCACTGAACATGTGCTATGATGACCACAATTTTGGGGATCAGTATGTATCTGCCTTTACAGTACCATAGTAACTTTGAAGACTCAGGGAACAAATAGACAAGTACTACCGATACAACTGAACATCCCAAAAGATCCTCAATAACTATTTTTGGAAAGCACAATCAAACCAAGTTAATACATGGATGCAGCACTAATAGGAAACACTATGCTTACTGCGAAGACATGGAAGTTCAAAAAAACAAGCAGACCAGCTACAGCCAGCCAGCAGAGATGAGAGTCTCCAGACCACCTCTGATTAAGAAGAACTGCTCCTCCACTCGATCCACGGGTGATGAGAGCAGACCGGAGGGAGGCACGGAGGAGGTCAGCAAGGCTACTTGAGAGGAAGCAGCTCCAGCTCTCCACACAAAAAACAGCTGTGGAAGGGTGATTTAACCAGATGCTGGGTAAAAGTGTGTTTCTTGGGAACACCTGCTTGTTTTGATGTGCACTTTCCAGCTTTACTTGATCCCGTCTCTTGAACTTTGGACTGTGTTTTTGTACTCTAAACCTCAGATTTTCCTTGTGGACTTGACTATTGGACTGTGCTTTTGTTATTGAAAACCTGGACTTGTGGGTATCATTACTTCCCTCTTTGCCTCATGTTCAGCTAGGGTCTACTTTTACAGCAGGGGAATCCAGACTGGGAACAGAGGGCTGGTGTGGAGCTTCACTGGCACCATTGGTGTTTCATTTGACACGGTGATAAGTGAGCAATAAACAGACACTACCTAAACCTTGCCTTGCCAGTGTGACTTGGTGCAGAACACTGATGCAGTTCCAATCTTCAAAAAAGGGGAAAAAATGGATTCACAAAACTACAAACCAATCAGCCTGACATCAATGCCTGAGAAGATCCTGAAAAAGAACCAAACAATTGATCTACGAACATCTGGAAGCAAGCAAACTTATAACCAGAAGCCAACATCGGTTTGTTGAAAAAAGACTGACAAAAAAATTCTTATTTCCTTCTTTGAGAAAGTGTCTAAATTAAATCAGCAAAATGCTATGGACACATTATACTGGAATTTCAGTAAGGCATTTGATAAAGTAGACCACAATCTACTTCTTGGTAAGTGAAGAAAATGTGGAATAGATAGCATCACCATCCAATGGATTTGTAACTGGCTGACAACTGCACTCAACCGTTAGTCAATGGGACTACATCTATATGGAGGGAAGTAAGCAGTGGGGTACTATAAGGCTCCCTCTTAGGCCCATTATTCTTCAGTATCTTCATAAACAATTTCGATGAATGAATAGAAGGGAAACTCATCAAATTTGGAGACAACACTAAGATGGCAGGAATAGCCACCATACTAGAAGACAAACTCAAGATACAGAAGAATCTCTATAGATTTGAACACTGGGCCAACAAAATGAAATTCAACGGAGAAAAAAATTAGGTTGTACACTTAGCCAAGAAAAACCAAATGGCAATGTACAGAATAGGTACAACCTGGCTCAATAGCAGTAACTGTGAGATGGATCTTGAAGTGCTAGTGAACAGCTAAAAAGAGCCAACAGTGTGATGCAGTGGCCACAAAAGCTAATGCAATCATAGGCTGCCTTAACAGAGGGCTAGAATCAAGATCATGTGAAGAATTAGTATCAATTTATAATGCTGTGTTAAGATCACACTTGGATTACTGCAACTAGTTTTGATTGCCACAATATGCCAAAATATGTAGAGACTATTTAAAGAGGGCAGAGAAGAGCAGCAAGGATGATTAGAGGGCTGGAGGCTAAAACATATAAAGAAGGGTTGCAGCAATTGGTTATGTCTAGTCTAGTGAAAGGAAGGACTAGGGGTGACATGATAGCAGTGTTCCAATATTAGAGGGGTCAAGAAAAAGGGGGTCAACTTATTTTGCAATGCATCAGAAGGCAAGACAAGAAGCAGTGGATGGAAACTAATCAAGGAGAGAAGCAGCTTAGAATTAAGAAACAATTAACCAATTGTTTGAAATTATATTGGGTCTCCTGCTTGAGCAGGGCATAGGAATAGTAGACCTGCAAGGTCCCTTCCAGCTCTGTTATAAACCCCCAGTGATGGAGCACCTCTGGAGGGAAGCAATTCCCAAAGAATCAACCTTTACTTTAAAGAGGCATTTTAAATCTTCAGACCAGCAGAAACTTGCAGCCACCAGTTTCACAGCCTTGACTTCTAGCAACCGACCTTTGCAACTGAGCCAAGTGAAATAGTGAAATGTGAGGCTACTTAGCTTACCTGCTGAGTACTAAAAGGTCAACAACAACAACAAATAAAATAAAAGCAACAACACACACCCAATATTTCCCAGTTGTACTACAGACAATTACAACGATTACAGTGATCTTATACATATTGATTCTACAGAAGGCAATGTTGAAAAGGCACTACGTAATCTAAACCCATCTCTATCTATTGGCCTGATGGACTATGTGCATACTTCTTAAAAAAGCTTTCCACTGCAATTGCAGAACCTCTAAGCATAATTTTTGAAAAATATTTCAGTACCAGCACCTTGTCCTACCAATGGTCACAAGCCAGGATCATCCCTATCTTCAAAAAGGGAGACCCTAGCCTTGTTGAAAATTGCAGACCAATCTCTTTATGCAAAGTCATAGAATCAATCATTAACCAATCTATTACTCTACCACCTAGAGACAAACTACCTACTTTCTAACAAACAATTCGGTTTCAGAAAAAAATTATCCTATAATCTACAACTACTACATTGCAAAAATATATGGACTACACATCTCGATCAGAGCAAAGCAATAGATGCAGTTTACATAGACTTCTGTAAAACTTTTGATTCAGTGGTACACGACAAATTACTTATAAAACTAAAATCCTATGGCATTTCTGGACTTCTACATAAATGGATAGCTGCCTTCCTGTCAAACAGACAAGTGGTCAAAATAGGAAGCGCTCTATTAAATCCTGTACCTGTTAACAGTGGTGTTCCCCAAGGGTCCAGCACTCTTCATACTTTACATAAATTACCTTTGTGATCATATTAAAAGCAACTGTGTTCTCTTTGCTGATGATGTTAAATTATTCAAAACCCAAGACAATGCAACTACCCTTCAAAAAAACCTTGACTATGTGCCAGATTGGTCTAACAAGTGGCAACTTCAAATCTCAACCAATAAATGCTCTGTCTTGTACATTGGCAAAAAAAATCAAAATATAAAATACAAATTAGATGGACATGATCTTGTAGATGACCCTCACTCTGTCAAGGACCTTGGAGTACTCATTTCTAAAGATCTAAATGCCCGAGACCACTGTAACAACATTGCCAAAAAGGCATTTAAGAGTTGTTAACTTAATCTTGTGTTGCTTCTTCTCTGGTAATGTTGTAGTACAAACTAGAGCATACAAAACATTTGCTAGACCAATTTTTGAACACAGCTCATCTGTCTGGAACATGCACTGCATATCGGACATAAACACAATCAAGAAAGTCCAAAGATATTTTATGAGAAGAGTCCTCCATTCCTCTAACTGCAATAAAATACCTTATGCTACCAGACTTCAAATTTTGGGCTTAGAGAGGGGGTGTGGCTGGCATCGGGCGATATGGTGTTGATTCTGGAGCTCCAGGAGAACACCGATATCCTAGCCGATTTTGGGGATCCCTAGGGATCATAGCTGTCTTGTGGAGACAGCAAAGAAAGAAGAGGCTGGCTGGCATGGATAGAGAATGAGCAAGTTCCCTGAAATGCTGGCATTAGTCTTCGACCCATTGGCGAAGGAAGGCAACCATTAAGAAGCTGTCACAAGCCAGAATGGCCACGATCAGAAAGAGGGAATGTAGGAGTGGTAATTGAACAGAGTATTGTTACCAGGTGAGTAATTGGCCAACTCACAGGTAAAAGAAAAAAAATCTTTGACAGCTTGAAAAAATTGTAGTGGAAGATTGGCGGCTAATTGGCACAGAAGGACTAAATCGGAGAGGAAAAAAAAGGAACTTTAACAATCAAACCTAAAGCCCTGGAAAAAATATTCCATTTGGATTTAAAACTGGATTTGGGGGGAAAAATAAGACAAGGAAAAGAAGATAGAAAAACATTTTAAATAGCAGAAGAATTTAATGTGGAAAAGAGAAAGTGAACGCTTTTGTGTATTACAAGATGGCTATTTTGTTATGGAAAGGATTGTGAATCGGAGAGACAGCTGCTGGCAGAGAGCATGAGAAAGAGGTGTGAAAGAATTTATACAGCTCTACCAAGATAAGAGAATAAAGGAACAAAGACTGAAACAGTGCTGGCTCAAGTGAAGATCTGAATTGGACATTATTTAAAGGGGGAAAAAAGAACATTATATGGACTTGGAAATTTGAAATATATTTAAAGGAAAAGAATAAATGTAAAAATCGCAGCCTTTTAAATTGAAAATATGGAGAATTGGGAGGAGGAATATGAGACATTGAGGGAGATGTTTCAAAAAATAAGAGAAGCATTTAAGGGAAACAAAGAAGCAGAAGATTGGTTAGAATGCAAAAAGAGAAAGAGAACTGAAGAATGAGAAACAAAAGAAACAAAGAGATAATATTGGAGAAGAAATAATTGAAAATAAAGATAAAGATGATTACGCTGGGTTTAGCAGTGACAGAATAAGAATGGATAAGGGAAAATAAATCTCAAATAAGAAAAAAAGAGAAATAAATGGGGAAAGATTGAGAAAGAAAATTAATAAAGTTAAAATTAAAGAAAAGAGGCTGAAGGGAAGATACAAGAAAAGGAAAAAGAGGAAGGTAAGGGAATGGGAGAAAGGGAGAAAAATACCAAGAAATGGAGTTGTGGAGAGACTAAAGGAAAATGGTTAAGAGTCAGTGAAAATGTTAATTTGTTAATAAAGAGAATTATGTTAGTGGTAGAAATTATATGTGAAAATGTTGTTAAATGAAATAGACCAGTAGGTGCAATGAGAAAGAAAGAATGATTTTGGAGAAAGCATTAAATGGAGAGAAATAAATAACATAAGCATTAATTGAAATTATGATGGAAAATTGAAATTGAATGTAAAATTGAATGAAATTGAAATGTTAAAAAATGATTTAAGTGTTATACTTGCAAGAAGTAAAGAAGAAAAAATATATTGTTAAAAGTAAAGAAGATAAAGGATTGGAAGACTGTTTGGGTAAAAATTTAAAGGGAAAAATGGAATAAGATGAAATATACTGTTTATAATTAAAAAGATAAGAGGAATTTTGTGAAATATACTTGATAAATGAAAGATCAGGGTTGCCTGGACTCCATAGTGGAAAATATTAAATCGAAGATGAATACAGCAATAGAGAGAGATGAGAAGAGAGATGGAAGGGAAGAGGAAGGAGAGAGAGGGAAGGAAGAGTAGGGAGGAAGGAAGGGAAGGGAAATTAGAGTAGGAAAGAAGGGAAGAGAGGGGGAAGAGAGGAGGAGAAGGAGAAGGGGAGGGGAAGTAGATAAGAGAAGAAGAGGAGGGGAAGAAAAAGTAAGAAAGAAAGAAAAGAGGGAGATGGTAGGTTGGAGGAGAAAGATTGCTGTACAATAAAAAAGATGAAATGGAAGAAAGGCAACCCCGAACAAATACAAATATATTAAGATAAAGAATGAATTGTTAAAGAATAAAAGGGAATAAATATGAATAAATAGTAAAATTAGAATTTAAGGGCAAATGAAGTTATTGTGTATGTAAGTAAGCATAGAAATAGTGAGATATGATAAAAAAGGGGGGGGGGGAGATTTTGACAAGAATTGTAATTGAGTAAAATATATTTGAATTTAATTAATTGTATAAGACAAGAAACAGCCAATACTCTGTTCAAAAAAGATGTAGGGAAATGTGGGAAAAAACCAATAAAACTTGTTTTTAAAAAAAGTTGGGGTTTAGACAACTTAGAACTATGCCGACTTCTGTCTAACCTAAACATAGTTCATAAAATTATCTGCCACAATGTCCTTCCTCTCAATGACTACTTCAGCTTCAACCACAATACACGAGCAAATAGTAAACCGTTCCAAACTTGATTGCAAAAAATATAACTTCAGTAACAGAGTGGTCAATGCCTGGAATGCACTACCTGACTCTGTGGTTTCTTCCCCAAACCCCCAAAACTTTAACTTTAAATTGTCTATTGTTGACCTCACCCCATTCCTAAGAGGTCTGTAAGGGGCGTGCATAAGTGCACCAGCGTGCCTACCGTCCCTGTCCTAATATTCCTTTTTTACTAACTCTTTTCATGTATTCCAAATATGTATATACTTTTCCCTGTTTTCTTATATATGCTTGACAAATAAACTTATGATTATGATGTTTTTTTTTTACAGAATTACAGAATAACCTTTCTTGGGGGTGTCTCTCAATGGAGGTCAAAGGTTCTCTGCACCCCAAATCTTTATGACTTATTTAATGTGGCTCCCAAGGATTTAGGACATGGCAGCACCATCAGGTGAGACGCTCCAGGACAGCCAGCTTCACTCCTGTTGGCCAGAGCTGCATCCAAGATCACCGAGCCTGAAGCTTTATTCCTGAAGGAGGAAATTGTATATCTACTAAATGCTTAATCCCATGTGTAACTTCTGCAAATTTATTTACAGGTAGAACAGAACAGAAAGAGTTGGAAGGGACCTTGGAGGTCTTCTAGTCTAACCCCTTGCTTAGGCAGGAAACCCTACACCATTTCAGACAAATGGTTGTCCAATCTCTTCTTAAAAACTTCCAGTGTTGGAGCATTCACAACTTCTGGAGGCAAGGTTCCACTGATTAATTGTTCTACCTGCCAGGAAATGTCTCCTAAGTTGCTTCTCTCCTTGATTAGTTTCCACCCATTGCTACTTGGCCTGCCCTCAGGTGCTTTGGAGAATAGTTTGACTCCCTCTTCTTTGTGGCAGCCCCTGAGATAGAACACTGCTATCATGCCTCCCCTAGTCCTTCTTTTCATTAAACTAGACATACCCCATTCCTGCAACCCTTCTTTATATATTTTAGCCTCCAGGCCCCTAATCATTTTTGTTGCTCTTCTCTGCACTCTTTCTAGTCTCAACATCTTTTTTTACATCGTGGCGACCAAAACTGGATGCAGTATTCCAGGTGTGGCCTTACCAAGACATTATAAATTAGTATTAACACTTCACATGATCTTGATTCTATCCCTCTGTTTATGCAGCCTAGAACTGCGTTAGATTTTTTGGTGACTGCATCACACTGTTGGCTCATATTTAGATGATTGTCTACTACAGGCCTGTTAAACTGGTGGCTGGCAGGCCAGATGTGTTACACACAGGCCACACCCACCCCAGCTCCACAGAAGAAGCCTGATAGTACAGTGGACTAAAGCACTGTTATTAACATCTGCTGCTTGCAATTACTGCAAATTCAAATCTCACCAGGCTCAAGGTTGACTCAGCCTTCCATCCTTTCAAAGGTAGGTAACATGAGGACCCAGATTGTGGGGGCAATAAGCTGACTTTGTATAAATATACAAAAGTATGAAGGCTATTGCTTAACGCATTGTAAGCCGCCCTGAGAAACCAAAGGGCGGCATATAAATTAAAGCAAAAAAAAAAAAAAGTTGCAATACGTCACATGACAGAATCAGGTTTGACACTCGTGGTCTACTAGAACTCCAAGATTCCTCTCACAATTACTACTATTTCTAAACTTATTTTAAATGTATTTCTAAAATACATTTTAAAAAAATGAAATAGAAAAATAGAATATTCCACTAAAGGACATGGCTGATTGATCATCAGGATAACTTTATTACAGGGGCACTCTACACTGCCATTTTTATTGAAGATCTAGTAAGAATTTCGGACTTTTCTTCTGAGGAAATGGAGAATTCCTCTGATTAGGGACTGGTGGCTTCTGGCCTGGCCCCATGGATCATCTCCTCTGGCATTGGATTGTCTTTTAGTTTGCTCAATTTTGTTAGATATGTGGTGTTAGTAAGTTTTTGGGGTCTCATTTATCTTAGGAAATATTTTGTTGGGTATTCTGCTATTTCCTTTGGGTTAGTTTTAATGTTTCTTCTTTGTATAATGAAATTCAATTAATGTTTATTGTTGCTCTGCGCTTCACTCTTAATCATGACATAAATTATTTTTATCCTCATATGATACGTGTGGTAAGAAGATGGAACAGTGGGGGTTGTGTAAAGTCAGAACACACCATTACAGCTGATTGAAGAGAGCTGGCTACTGCATGAGGCAATCTGAACTGTGATTGGCTGCCTTGAGTGAAAAGGGAGAGTTTCCTTGTTTCCCGCCTTTTTACCCTGTGTGCTCTCTGTTTTACCTGATGTTTCTGTCGTGTTGATTTTACCTCACTTTGCTCCCATTTGCCTGTCTTTACTGTAAATATATTTATTTACATAAAGCCACAAGTTCTTGTCAGCGTCTGACTCCATTTGGACACAGGCTGCACAATTCCCTGACACAAGAATCTTCCTTGTACCTTCTCCCATCTTCTTATACTCCTCTGAATTAGATAGGTTTTTCTGTGAGTCTCTTCTGAATAGGATCCGTATGCTGTGAACTTGGGGAGATATTTTCCCCTCATCTCTTTAGTAATGGAGTTTGCATATCTCCCAAGATATTTTCTTTAGTCTGTGCACTGGGGCTTCTGGGCATAGGGTAGAGTGGGTGACAGTGCTGGGCTAAGAGCAGGGAGATACAGTTTGTGTTCTCCACTCAGTCATGGAAAGTCCTGTGATTATCCAGACAGACCACTGAGTTACATCTTGGTTTCTCCACACACTAGTCCTGATCTGCTCCAATGAAAAAGGATAAATGTTTGAAAAAAATTAAGGCGCTCTGGGAGAGAAACAGAAAACAGGAAACGCCTCGCATGTGTTGGGAAGAGTGTTGGATTACCTTGTCTCAATGTTTACATAAATGCTGACACTTTCCTTTTTTTCTCTCAAAATCTATTCATGATTCTTATGCAAAGCTGCTTTAGAAATTGAAACATTATTTACTGTACAATTTTTCTCACATTTTCCAACCAAGGGTGGACCACAAAATGTCAGATCCTTGGTGCTGCTCTCACACGCCAGCCATCAAAGACTAACAAGAAGGCAGGCACCTCCAAGCGAAGGAGATCACAACAGGAGTTGCGAATAAACCTGGAGATCCTGTGCTCAAAAACACAATGTAAGGACTTGCCTCTCCTCTCTCTTCAAGAAAGCAGGACTCTTGAAACAGGAGGGATTTCAAAAGGAAACATTTATTGAGAGACAGTGGCAGTAAGTAGAGCAAGGGTAGAGCGGGTGACAGTGCTGGGCTAAGAGCAGGGAGATACAGTTTGTGTTCTCCACTCAGTCATGGAAAGTCCTGTGATTATCCAGACAGACCACTGAGTTACATCTTGGTTTCTCCACACACTAGTCCTGATCTGCTCCAATGAAAAAGGATAAATGTTTGAAAAAAATTAAGGCGCTCTGGGAGAGAAACAGAAAACAGGAAACGCCTCGCATGTGTTGGGAAGAGTGTTGGATTACCTTGTCTCAATGTTTATATAAATGCTGACACTTTCCTTTTTTTCTCTCAAAATCTATTCATGATTCTTATGCAAAGCTGCTTTAGAAATTGAAACATTATTTACTGTATTTACTTATTTTTCTCACATTTCCCAACCAAGGGTGAACCACAAAATGACAGATCCTTGGTGCTGCTCTCACACGCCAACCATCAAAGACTAACAAGGAGGCAGGCACCTCCAAACTAAGGAGATCACAACAGGAGTTGCGAATAAACCTGGAGATCCTGTGCTCAAAAACACAATGTAAGGACTTGCCTCTCCTCTCTCTTCAAGAAAGCAGGACTCTTGAAACAGGAGGGATTTCAAAAGGAAACATTTATTGAGAGACAGTGGCAGTAAGTAGAGCAAGGTAGGATCTGAACTTCCCGCTCAGAACAGTTAGGTAAAAAGTTGTAGAAACCCCTCCCCTCTGCCCAATCCAAGGGGAGCCAATACACAGGTGCAAAGTAGTTGTGAGACCTCTGAGTTGAGAAGGTGGTAAGAAGTTGTTCTCAGGCACTGCTTGCTCCTTCTGCTGGAGCTGAGACAAAACAGATGGCCACAAACAATTCCTCCCCCCTCCCATTCCCAGGAAAGTACATCAAAGTTAAGAAAAGAGCAGAAACAAGAAAAGGTCATAAAATGGCATTCAGGCCCTCCCTGCCAGAATGGCAGCATCCCCATAAGGATCTATGGGGACCTGACACACAATCCCTTTTCTCCTCAACTCAATATTCCTACAGCTCTTCCCCATGAAGGTCACCTGTAGGGCAGAACATTTACATCTGAAATTCTGCACTGCTTTTGTCACTGCCCCAAACTCCCCCAATATATTTGCTATTTGTATGGTTTCTTCCACTTGCATGCCTCATTCTTGACAAAATTTGAGCAGAGATGCTTGGCGCAATGAATTTCTGTAATTGTTAGGAAAGGATAAATGTTGATACCTCTGCAATTGTTAGGAAAAGATAAACTACCGTGTTTTTCAGAGTATAAGACACACTTTTCTCCTCCTAAGAGGGTGAAAATTTGGCTGCGTTTTATACACTGAATGTAGCCCCGCCCATCCGCTGGCCCCGCCCTTTGGTCATTTTTGGCCTCCAAGCATCGCATTTTAGACTTATACCAGGCTGCAGGGAGTGGAGTGCCACAGACCATCGCCACCTCCATGCCTTGCATTTTTGGTTTCTGTGCCTCGCGTTTTTAGCCTCCTAACACTCTATTTCAGACATGTTCAAGGCTGTGAAAATTGCCAGAGCACATCATCACTGATTGCCGCCTCTGCGCATCGTGCATTGCATTTTCAACCTCTGCGTATCACATTTTTGGCCTCCGCACGCCCCATTTTTGGCTGCTGTGCATTGCGATTTTGGGCGGGATGAGTGGCCTGGAACCACCCAAAAACATGACACGCAGAAACAGGGCTGTAGAGGCTGAAAACACAATGCAGAGGCAGAAAATGCAATGCACAGAGGTGGCAATTGGCGGCAATATGCTCTGGCGATTCCTGCAGCCTTGAACAAGTCTGAAATGGAGCATTCAGAGGCTGAAAATGCGAGGCACAGAGGCCAAAAATGCAAGGCACAGAGGCAGTGATGGTCTGTAACAATCTCTGCAGCCTGGAACAGCTGATTGAGGGTATTCCGGGGGCGGGGGGTTAATCCACCCGCCAATCAGCTATTCATGCTGAATCAGGCTGCAAAAATGTGCTGAAGCTGACCTGGCTGTTCGCTATTTGCTGCAAGGAAGCTAGCCAGATGAATACCGATGGATGCTGGTAGGCAGAGGCAGAATTTTTTTTTCCTCCCAAAAATTAAGGTGCGTCTTATACTCTAGAGCGCCTTATACATTGAAAAATACAGTATTCCTCTTCTCCTCTTGTTTTCTCATTATATGAGGAGTCACAATGTCTATATGTCTATAACTATAGCCTGAGTGCTCTTATTCTAAAAAGATGCTGGCTTGGGAATTCTGGGGCTGAAAATATTGAGGACACCTAGGGAGAAGGCAGGGCCTCTGCATATGGCATTTCTATCATTTATAATGATAAAATTGGGAAGGACACTCCTAAGAAGATGTTTGCAGATTTCTACAATTTTTGCAAAAATAAAATATCCAGCAATTTCTGCTGCTAATGGCCAAACAGTCCTTATCAAATTAACATGTTCCACTTTTTTCTTTCCTCCTTCCCATCTAATACATTGACATATTTGATGACAAAAAATCAGGCAAATTCTTTGTACTCAAATTAAAGAGTCAATTTCCCAGTTGAACTTACAATGGGACATTTGAAATGAAATTCGAGCCTTCTCTACACTCATCACTTTGGGCCCCAGGTGCATTTTCTTGTGTGCAATAAGGTTGGAAGGTTTCCTGAAGCACCATGCACACTCAAAGCACTTAAATGGTTTCTCCCCTGTGTATATAAGCTTATGATTTAGAAGCCTATCCTTAGTACTGAAATCTTTGCACAGTCTGGACTGTCATATGGTTACTCTCCTATGTGAGTCCTCTGGTGACTCACCAGTCGACAATTCCAAAGGAAACTTTTCCCACAATCTGGACACTTATATGGTTTTTCCCCGGAGTGAGTTTTCTGATGGTTCACCAGGTCATAATTCTGACTGAAGCTTTTCCCACAATCAGTACATTCAAAGGGTTTCTCTCCTGTGTGAGTCCACTGGTGTTTCACCAGGTTGGAATTCTGACTGAAACTTTTCCCACAGTCAGAACATTCAAAGGGTTTCTCTCCTGTGTGAGTCCTCTGGTGCCTTACCAAGTAGGAATTCTGACTGAAACTTTTCCCACAGTCAGGACATTCAAATGGTTTCTCTCCTGTGTGAGTCCTCTGGTGAATCACCAGATTGGAATTATCACTAAAGCTTTTCCCACAGATAGGACATTCAAAGGGTTTCTCTCCCGTGTGAGTCCTCTGGTGTATTACCAGGCTGGAATTCTGACGGTAACATTTCCCACAGTCAGGACATTCAAAGGGTTTCTCTCCTGTGTGAGTCCTCTGGTGTGTCACCAGGTAGGAATTTTTACTGAAACCTTTTCCACAATCAGGACATTCAAATGGTTTCTCTCCTGTGTGAGTCCTCTGGTGTCTCACCAGACTGGAATTGTCAATGAAACCTTTCCCACAGTGAGGACATTCAAAGGGTTTCTGTCCCGTGTGAATCGTCTGGTGTGTCACCAAGTGTGAATTCTGTCTGAAACCTTTCCCACAGCCAGAACATTCAAAGGGTTTCTCTCCTGTGTGAGTCCTCTGGTGTGTCACCAGTTGGGAATTCGTAATGAAACTTTTCCCACAATCAGGACATTCAAAGGGCTTTTCTCCTGTGTGAGTCCTCTGGTGTATTACCAGGCAGGAACTCTGACTGAAACTTTTCCCACAGTCAGAACATTCAAAGGGTTTCTCTCCTGTGTGAGTCCTCTGGTGTGTCACCAGATAGGAATTTGCAATGAAACATTTCCCACATTCAGAACATTCAAATGGTTTCTCTCCTGTGTGAGTCCTCTGGTGCCTTACCAGGTAGGAATTCTGACTGAAACTTTTCCCACAGAAAGGACATTCAAATGGTTTCTCTCCTGTGTGAGTCCTCTGGTGTGTCAGGAAATTGGAATGATCACTAAAGCTTTTCCCACAATCAGGACATTGAAAGGGTTTCTCTCCTGTGTGAGTCCTCTGGTGTCTTACCAGGCTGGAATTCTGACTGTAACGTTTCCCACAGTCAGGACATTCAAATGGTTTCTCTCCTGTGTGAATCGTCTGGTGTTTCAACAGGCTGGAATTCTGACTGAAACTTTTCCCACAGTCAGGACATTCAAAAGGTTTCTCTCCTGTATGAGTCCTCTGGTGTGTCACCAGGTGGGAATTCGTAATGAAAGTTTTCCCACAGTCAGGACATTCAAAGGGTTTCTCTCCTGTGTGAGTCCTCTGGTGTGTTACCAGGTGGGAATTTGTAATGAAAGTTTTCCCACAGTCAGAACATTCAAAGGGTTTCTCTCCTGTGTGAGTCCTCTGGTGCCTTACCAGGTAAGAATTCTGGCTGAAATCTTTACCACAGAAAGGACATTCAAAGGGTTTCTCTCCTGTGTGAGTCCTCTGGTGTATCAGCAAATTGGAATTGTCATTAAAGCTTTTCCCACAGAAAGGACATTCAAAGGGTTTCTCTCCTGTGTGAGTCCTCTGGTGCCTTACCAGGCTGGAATTCTGACTGTAACGTTTCCCACAGTCAGGACATTCAAAGGGTTTCTCTCCTGTGTGAATCCTCTGGTGTATTACCAGGCTGGAATTCTGACCGTAACGTTTCCCACAGTCAGGACATTCAAAGGGTTTCTCTCCTGTATGAGTCCTCTGGTGTATTATGAGGTGGGAATTTCTACTGAAACTTTTTCCACAATCAGGACATTCAAAGGGTTTATCTCCTGTGTGCATGGTCTCGTGTCTCATGAGTTGGGAATTTTTAATGAAACTTTTCCTGCAACCTCGACACACACAGAGTTTCTCTGTGGAGTGAATCCTCTGATGTATCACCAAACTGGAAGTTCAACCAAAACTTTTTGAACAATCAGGACATTCAAAGCATTTCCCTCCTATGTGAGTCTTCTGGTGTATCATCAGGCTGAAATTGCAACTTTCTCATAATCAGGACATTCAAAAGGTTTCTCTTCTGTGTGAGTTCTCTGGTGTCTCATCAGATGAAAATCTCTAATGAAGCTTTTCTCACAGTCTAGACACTCATACAGTGTCTCCGTGGAGTCAATCCACTCATGGATCACCTGGCTGGAATTCTTACAATGCCTTGTTTAGTGTTGCTTTCATTGAAGCCGTTTTCTTCCTCACAGGAAGAGGCCTGCCTTATTGTCTGCTCTACATGGCTTTACCATTGACCTTTTTCTCCCCACTCAGTTCCAGATATTTCCCTTTTTTGCTTATTGAAAAATAATCTCCTTTGACTTTTCATGTAACGTATCCTTGAATTCTGCATAATCTGCTTATTCTTTCTTGATTTTCTCTCTTTTGTCTAACAGCTGTTGGAGGAGGAGGAGGAAAATTCTGTGTTTTTCTGAAGGAAATGGAAAATATTTTGATTTCTGGCTTGATTTTCTTCCCTTTTCAACGTTTCTTGTTATTGACAGTTGTCCAGAGTGCTCTTATTGCCGTCCTGTTTGTCTGTAAGATTCAAAGAAAAGTGTAACATGGTTTATAAAGTGGTTAGAGATGTGAAAAATGAAAAAAGTATATATTACAATGAAAAAGCAATCATGCTGCAATACTAGAATAATCACTTAAATCAGGGGTCCCCAACCTTTTGGACCTCAGGGACCATCAAGTTCATAATTTTAAATTTTGCGGACCACTAATACAAATCCAGCGCACCCTTGCTGAAGCACCTGGATTCCCAGTGACGGGATGGGTCCTTCAGGCACTGTTCTCCCTCCTCTCTCTTTGTCTCTCTCTTTCTCTCTCCCACTCTTTCTCTCTCATTCTCTCATTCTCTCTCCCCCCTCTCTCTTTCTCTCTCTTTCTCTCTCTCTCATTCTGATTATTTCTTTCTTTCTTTTTTCTTTTTGCTTTAATTTATATGCTACCCTTCTCCGGAGACTCAGGGCAGCTTACAATGCATTAAGCAATAGCCTTCATACTTTTGTATATTTATACAAAGTCAGCTTATTGCCCCCACAATCTGGGTCCTCATTTCACCTACCTTAGAAAGGATGGAAGGCTGAGTCAACCTTGAGCCTGGTGAGATTTGAACTTGCAGTAATTGCAAGCAGCAGATGTTAATAACAGTGCTTTAGTCCACTGTACTATCATTCTGATTCTATCATTCATTTTGTCTCTCTTTCTTTCTGATTCTTTCATTCTGTCTCTCATTTTCTCTCATTCTCTCATTCTCTCTCTCTGATTCTCTGTCTCTGTCTCTCTCTCTCTCTCTCATTCTCTCTTTTTTATTCTCTCTCTGATTCTCTCTCCCTCTCATGGGCCAGCCAGTATCTTGAGGCTGAGATAAAGTGAATCATCTCCCTGAAAGGCCGAGGTGCACGGAGCACCAACGAAGGCTGGAAGAAGAAGATTCTCTCATTCATTTTGTCTCTCTTTCTCTCTCTGATTCTCTCTTTCATTCTGTCTCTCATTTTGTCTCATTCTCCCTCTCATTCTCTCTCTTTCATTCTTTCTCTCTTTCATTCTCTGTCTCCTTCTCTCTCTCTCTCTCTCTCATTCTGATTCTCTCTCTCTCTCTCATTCTCTCTTTTTCATTCTCTTTCTGGTTCTCTCTCCTTCTCATAGGCCAGCCAGTGTCTTGGGGCTGAGATGAAGTGAATCATCTCCCTGAGAGACCGAGGTGCACAGAGCACCAACAAGGGCCGGAAGAAGTGCGGGAGCGAAGCACTACTTGATCTTGTGAAGCATGAGCATTTGCCTCGGTGTATTTGTGCCAGCTGGTGGCACAAAGCAGCCCTCATCTCCTGCCACTTGGGACTCAGAATGTTAAATGGCGACTGGTCTGGGGAGCAGCTGGATTTTGCCCTCCATTGCAGATGCCAGATTGGCCCCATGCAAGCTTTCTTCTCTCAAGGAGCGCTCCCTGAAGCGGCGTGGGAAACTTTGGTCAGGCTCCTCGAGAGACGAGAGCTTGCAGGGGGCCAATCTGGCATCCACAATGGAGAGCAAAATCTGGCTGCTCCCCAAACCAGACACTGTTCACCACTCTGAGTCCCAAGCAGCAGGAAACGAGGGCTGCCTTGCGCCGCAAATATACCAAGGCGGAATCCTGATGCCGCACTACAGCAGGGAGAAGAAGCTGGATTTTTCTCTCCATCACAGACACCAGATCGGCCCCCTGCAAGCTCTCGTCTCGAGAAGCCCGACCAAAGTTTCCAGCGCCGCTTCAGGGAGTGCTCCTCGAGAGACGAGAGCTTGCAAGGTTCCAATCTGGCATCCATAATGGAGAACAAAATGAAACCAGTGGTTTCAACTCTTAAATTTATTTATTATTTATTTATTTATTAGTTCGATTTATATGCCGCCCTTCTCCGGAGACTCAGGGCAGCTTACAATGCATTAAGCAATAGCCTTCATACTTTTGTATATACCTGCTTAGTAGGGCTTTCAGCCCCCCCAAGTGGTGTTCTTTTTTATACAAAGTCATCTTATTGCCCCCACAATCCGGGTCCTCATTTTACCTACCTCGAAAGGGGCTGAGTCAACCTTGAGCCGATGAGATTTGATCTGCTGATCTGCTGAACTAGCAGTCAGCTGAAGTAGCTGCAGTACTGCACTCTAACCACTGCTCCACTTCGGCTCTTTTTAAATAACATTTTTACTTTAATTTTTTTAATTTTTAAATCTTTTTCAATTCTAAAATTCTTTTTTCAATTTTTAAATAACATTCTTTTTTCAATTTTTAATTCTTTAAATTTTAAAATTCTTTTTTCTATTTTTTAAATAATATTCCTTTTTCAATTTTTCAATTTTTTTTCAACTAAAGATTAAAAAAACAGTTTATTTATATTAATTCTTTAGAAATGTTTAAATTCTTAATGATCTAAGAGGAAAAAATAAACTACAGAAAAAGAGATAGATACTTAAAACAGGGAAGATAGTGAAAAATTTTTCAAGACAGAAGAGAAAAGGTCAAGAACTTGTAAACTATTGTAAACTGACACTTTGCAACAGAAAATATTTAAATTTTTTAAAAAATTTAATTTTAATTTTTAAGCAAACAAAGAAAAAAGTCATGGAGATAGAAACTGACACTATAGTTCTTGCAAAGTCTGCCATATGTTTCACCTTATGCCCACAGAGGATCCAAACTATAAACTACTTGAATTACTAGAAGAAAAAGTAAAGTGTTTAGAGGCAACTAGCGCTCTGAAAGTCAATGAGCAAAACGAGAAATCCCAACCTAAACAAGAAGACTACACCAAAGTAAAACATAATAGGGAATGTTAAGGAATATGCAATAACCCTTGCTACTCAATAACCCTTGAGTAGCAAGGGTGTGCACATGAAAATGGCTGAGAGTAGTTATGAATAATCACAGTCAACACACAAATACACTGAGTTGTGATATGATTTTACTTTTAGGAAAAAAATAAAGCAAAGTCCAATAAACAGTCCAGGTCATACACAGATAAAGCAGTATATAGTCAAAATGTCAGTCCAGGGATATTCCAATAACAAGGTCTTCTTACCAGTCATTGTAGTCATACACAATAACAGTTCTTCTATATTTGCAAACAGTAGCAAAAAACAGCAGTGAGCAGTAGAGAGCAACAGCGAGCAGCAGAGAACAGGCAGAGAGAGATAAGCCATGTTTCAAGCTCCCTCTTAAGGACATTGGCTACAGAGCTAGCCAATCAGGACACAGTATGATGCAATACAGCAATACAACCTTAAAGCTATACAACACAGTTTTTATACAAACATATATATATATATATATTTGTTTTTGTTTTAAGTTTTAATGTTTATTAAAAATATGGAACGCTTCACGAATTTGCGTGTCATCCTTGCGCAGGGGCCATGCTAATCTTCTCTGTATCGTTCCAATTTTAGTATATGTGCTGCCGAAGCGAGCACATATACAAACATATATTGATGGTTTATATATTGCCATCCCAATCAGTTAGGTAACAGCCATTTCCTAACAGGGAGCATTGGCAGTGGCATCTTTCAGCCTCAAACGACTATGGTATCGTGCTCTGGAAAGAGGTCCTAAAACAGCATCTAGTGTGACTAAAAAGGCCAATTCGAGAGTGGCAATCCCTTCCACACTGAGGGAGCAGACAGCAGACAATCTTTTAAAAATGACTCCATTGTTGTTGTTAGTTGCGAAGTCGTGTCCGACCCATTGAGACCCCCGTCGACAATGTTCCTCCAGGCCTTCCTGCCCTTTACCATCCCCCTGAGTCCATTTAAGCTCACGCCGACTGCTTCAGTGACTCCATCCAGCCACCTCGTTCTCTATCATCCCGTTCTTCTTTTGCCCTCAACCTTTCCCAGCATTAGGCTCTCCTCCAGTGAGTCCTTCCTTCTCATTTGGTGGCCAAAGTATTTGTTTCATCTTCAGGATCTGGCCTTCTAAAGAGCAGTCAGGGTTGGTCTCTTCTAGGACCGACAAATTTGATTGCATTGCAGTCCAAGGGACTCGCAGGAGTCTTCTCCAGCACCATAGTTCAAAGGCCTCAATTCTTTGGCACCCAGCCTTTCTTATGGTCCAGCTTTCACAGCCATACATTGCAACTGGGAAAACCATAGCCTTGACTATATGCACTTTTGTTGGCAGGGAGATGTCTCTGCTTTTTAGTATGCTATCTAGATTTGCCATAGCTTTCCTCCTAGGAGCGAGCATCTTTTAATTTCTTGGCTTTAGTCCCCATCTGCAGTGATCTTGCAGCCCAGGAAAATAAAATCTGTCACTACCTCCATTTCTTCCCCATCTATTTGCCAGGTATTGAGAGGGCCGGATGCCATGATCTTAGTTTTCTTAATGTTGAGTTTCGAGCCAACTTTTGCACTCTCCTCCTCCACCTGCATCAAGAAGCTCTTTAGTTCCTCTTCACTTTCTGCCATTAGAGTGTATCATCTGTGCTCTGCATATAAGTTAAATAGGCAGGGCGACAGTACACAGCCTTGCTGAACTCCTTTCCGAATTTTGAACCAATCAGTGGTTCCGTGTCTAGTTCTCACTGTTGCTTCTTGACCCGCATGTAGGTTTTTTAAGAGACAAATAAGATGGTCTGGTACTCCCATCTCTGTAAGAACTTGCCACAATTTCTTGTGATCCACACAATCAGAGGCTTTAGCATAGTCAATGAAGCAGAAGTAGATGTTTTTCTGAAACTCCCTCGCTTTATCCATGATCCAGCGTATGTTGGCAATTTCATCTCTAGTTCCTCTCCCTCTTCGAAATTCTGCCTGTACTTCTGGTAGTTCTCGGTCCACATACTGCTGGAAGCTAACTTGTAGGATTTTGAGCATAACTTTGCTAACATGTGAAATGAGTGCAATGGTGCGGTAGTTGGAACATTCTTTGGCATTGCCCTTCTTTGGAATTGGAATGTAAACTGACCTTTTCCAATCCTGTGGCCACTGTTGAGTTTTCCAAATTTGCTGGCAAATTGAGTGTAGCACTTTTACTGCATTGTCTTTTAAGATTTTGAAGA